CCTGATACTCCACTATCAACTAGTGAGTTGCAACCTCATGAAGGACAGGCCTCACCACAAGAGATCCACGTATATCAACAACGTGTTGGATCCATCTCATTTGCCTCATGCGCAACTAGGCCAGACGTCGCCTATGCTCACTCCAAACTAGCCCAATTCCTAGTCAACCCGTCGAGTGCGCACGCCAAGGCCGCGGATAGAGTGATTGCATATCTCTACCGCACGAAACACTTCTCCCTCACGTACAACAGTCAATCTGACCAACACTTCCTCTGCGCGTCGGACGCCTCCTTCGCCGACGACCCTGAGACTAGGAGAAGCTCCGATGGCTACATCCTGACGCTATTCGGAGGGCCCATTGACTGGAGGTCGGGGAAGCAAAAGACGGTCACAACGTCCTCCACCGAGGCTGAACTCCTTGCCCTCTCCAATGCGGCGAGCGAAATGATATGGTGGAAGAGAATGTTCGCTGACATCAATCTAGACCTCAAGGAGACCTCGCCCTTGCTCTCCGACAACTTGCAGACTATTCGACTGCTAACCAAGAACGAAAAGCTGTCTACAAGACTTCGTCATGTTGATATTCATCGGCATTGGCTTCGACAGGAGGTGCAACAAGGAAAGATCCACCTTGATTGGGCACCAACAAACGACATGATTGCCGACGGCCTCACGAAGGCCTTGCCTAGGCAAAAACACGAGGCTTTCATCAAGCAACTCAACCTCACTGACATCCAGGAAATGCTATCTTGATGTTTCCTCACCAACGACGACGGCATCATTTCCTGAGGGGGTGTGTTGAACAGGCTGAGTTGTGACGGTGTCATTACAACCCCCATACTCGCGCCGAACGCCTCCGAGGAACTCCGCCGCCTAGAACGCTCCTTATTGCGCATTTCGCAACACTCTTTTCATAACTATCGAGTCACTCATTGAACTATATCATGTTGACAGCAATATATAGGCCGGTCTATTGCCAATTATTACCAATTATCGGAGCGCTTGTTGCAACCATTAAGGTTCACAAGGAAAGGGCGACTTGCGGCCTGTGATGAGGCAACGAAAGAGGCCTCGACCGGACAGAGAATAGTCGCTCCTTTTGCCTATATATATCATAGTCCTTGACCTCATAGTTATTGAGGTCAGACTCGTCAATACATCCCATTTAACTCCCATTGTGTGAGCGTTGCACGATAGATAGTTTACCAGATAACAAAGATTGTGTACATTAACAATAAAGACATCTGTGTTGTTATTATATCATAGCTCGATGAAGTGTTGGATCAAAGCGAATACGCGCTCCTGTGATCCTGTGGTCGCATTCTTCGCGGACGGATATGTGCGGACCTTTGTACAGGCCCCCGAGGTCGGACTGAGATCCATTGTTGTACACAATTTGTGGGTGGATTCGGCGTCTGAAGACTGGAGATCCAAGCCCACAATCTTTGTGGGAAGAGCTTCGCCCTATGACAGGTGCGTAGTGGATGAACGATGGACTCATGGATTCTATCTATGTCACGGCGTATTATTAAGAATACGCTGGGCGATCTTCAATCTCCTATCGTATAGCCTCGGTAGAGAAGTCGATTGAGCAACATCCTCCACAATATCAGAGGAATGAAACCATTCCATCTCCTTTCCTCCAACTCTATCTCTCCATCAAGGTCATTTTCGAACTCGATAAAACCGTACCACTATCAGCATACGACTTACCTGACACGTCTCTCCTCAACTCACGTCGAAGCAATGGCAAACGAAGTCATCCTTTACGATATCCCTTCGAAACAGGGGACGTCGTGGAGCTTGAACCCGTGGAAGAGTAAGTTGTGATCCTGCCACCTGCTCTGACACACTCGCCTACATTCATTCACTTGGGACCGTGGACCGTGGACCGTGGACCGTGATGTTGCCCGTTTGCCTACTTGCTTGCGTTGAGTCATACCCGTGTACGTCTCGATCTTGACTAACCGTCCGCTTCGTTACATTATAGCAAGACTCTACCTCAACTACAAGAACATTCCCTACAAGACGGAATGGACGGCGTATCCTGACCTTGAGCCCAAGTTTGAAAAATTGTAAGTCGTGGTTTGGTGCTACAATAGTAGAAAGCTCTACTGGGCCCCTTTCGGGATGATTCACCGCCTCCGACTACTACTATCGGCCTCCCTGGCTAGGTACCGAATACCTACCTACCTATACTTTTTTTTTTTCAAACCTTTGACCTTGCTCGTTGTTTTCCTTGTTGTCTTCTACCTTGCTGGACCTCACGTGCCCTCCCCCTTCCTTTCCTCCGCGCCATCGCTAACCCAACACCTCGATCATCCCCAGTGGAATCCCTCCCAACGAGACAGGAACCAAGTATACTGCACCGACCGTCAAGATGCCCGACGGGTCCTACGTGGTGGACTCCCGCCGCATCGCCGAGGGCCTAGACCGCATCTACCCCGATCCGCCGCTGCACATCGAATCGAAATACCAGGCGCCCGTCGAGGCCGCGCTCGGCAACATCATGCGCTGCATCCGGTCCGTCTACATGCCCCTGGTGCCGAAGATGTTCCTCAACCCGCGCTGCCGTGACTACTTCGTCGCGACTCGCGAGAAGGTCGTCGGCATGCCGCTGGACGAGTTCGGCAAGACGGCCGACCACGACGTCAAAAGCGCCGAGCCGTACGTGCGTGAACTGTCGGCCTTGTTGACCGAGACCGACGGGCCATTCTTCGAGGGCAAGGCGCCGTGCTATGCCGATTTCGTTGTCGTTGCGTGGGTCAAGATGCTGAAAGGGTTGGGCGTCGAGGAGAAAATATACGCCTTGGAAGGTGGGGAGCAGCTGAAGAAGCAGTATGAAGCCGCCCAGGCGAGCGGGTGGTTTGATCGGGACAGCTACTGATGAGACTGCTCGGTAACCGTACGAGTGCTCTGTCCGGCCGTCTATCGGAGGACTAACTAGTCATACAGCATCATCCCTTGCTGTATCGATACGACTAGAACATGTGCCTGGAGTATCTACATGGTGCATACACCATCTCGAATATATACCCACACCTCGCGTTCACCCCACACAGAGCACAGCGTACACTCTACACATGTTGGTTTCTTTCAAGACAAAAGCATCAACTGAATGCATCAAGAGCGCAATTCACCATTTTTGAGTGATTGAAACTACCTATTTGCATTGCTCCGAAGTAAGATAGAACAAGCTATGTCAGTGGATGTACATACGTACATAGGTATCGTAGGGATGATTTGGGGCAAAAGTAAACGGCCCATAAAGAGAGAGATGCGAATTAATTGGCTTTCACCGTCCACGTGTAATGAATCACGCTCCTGCTCCAGGTAGCTGAATGACGACTTTTCCAAAATGCTTCTGCTGCCACTGGTACTCGTAGGCGTCAAGGGCGTTTTCAAACGAAAAGGTCTTTGGGTCCACGATGGGATGGATGTTGTTCGCTTCAATGGCTCTGTTCATGGCGTTCATCTGAAGCCTGGATCCGATAAGAATACCGCGGATGATGCAGCCTGCCGACAGCGCCGCCAGAGGGCTTGGATCGTCCGGGGACTTGGCACCGCCGAGGAACCCGATCACGGCGATGGTGCCTTCCAGCTTGACAGCCTTGAGGGACTGTTGGATGGTGCCGGAGCCGCCGACCTCGATGACAAAGTCGACGCCTGCCTTCCCTGGAGACAGTCTCTTGGCCGTCTCACCCCAGTTCGGATCTTCCTTGTAGTTGATCACGATGTCAGCGCCGAGCTGTTTGAGACGCTTGGCCTTGTCCGCCGACGACGTCGTCGCAATGACGGTCGCACCGGCCGCTTTGGCGAACTGGATGGCTGAAAGAGACACGCCGCCCGTTCCCTGTGTCAGCACCACTTGGCCTGGCTGCAACGCCTTGGACTCGAGACCGTACAGGGCATTCCACGCTGTGAGTGGCGCGCAGCTCAATGTGCTGGTCTCTGTCGGTGTCAGGTTCGACGGGGCCGGGACGAGACCCGACTCCGGGAAAACAGCATAGTGGGTCAGTGTGCCGTCAACGGATCCGCCGAGGGTGGTTTGCATATACTCCTCCGTGACTGGACCGGCTTGATGTGCTTGTATGAACACTGTGGCTACGTTGTCGTCCTTTTGGAATTGGGTCACTTTGGGTCCGACGGCCAGAACACGACCAGCGCCGTCCGAGCATGCAACAACCGGGACATTCTGCGGGAGTGGATACAAGCCCTATGATGAGAAGTTAGTATCAACTCTCGAGCATGAGAATGGTCGTAGATTCCAATATCCTGAGAAGGGTCAGGACAAACCTTTGGTATAATTAGGTCTCGGTAGTTCAGTGAAACGGCCTGGATCTGTACCAGACAGTCGTGGTCTCCCAGCGGTGGGAGTGGCCTGTCCTTTTCGAGTTTCATGTTGCTAAAATCACCCGAATCCTTGGTGCTGAGGATGATCCAGGCATCGGTCTTCTTGGGGAGAGACATGGCTGCAGGACTGAAATTTGGAGGTAGGCTTGGAAGATGCTTATTTCAGTGGATCGGAGGAGAGCTTGCTCGAGTTCCCTCAGCGATGGTCCTTCCTCTATGGTGTTCAAGAGTTTCCGTCCCTAGTCTAAGATATGTTCGTAAAGGCGAAGCCAGAGAGACGGTTCTTGTGCTAGAGAGGTGTTTTGAAATCATTGTAGAATCGAGGCTGGGCTGCTTATGTTTATATATTTGAGATGCCGGATAGTTATCCCTAGGCTCTGAGACTTGATCTGCAGATGGATGTCTCGATTGAGTACAGGAGCATTCGGTTCGAGGTTTCGGAGAACGAATTCCACCAAGGGATGTACCCAATTCTCTGATTGCTTACGTTAAATCAGAATTATGACCCCAACTTCCGGGCCGGAAACCCAGTGGGACTTTTGGAGACATTATTTTTGCAATCTGATTCGAAAAGAGAGAGTGTCCCACCGCATACCTGCGAGTAGTTTACATACTCGACAGACGTGGTTCACTCAGGTTGCATTGTAAATCATCCATCGTCAAGTGTCGTGAAATTTGAAGCCAGGACTAAGTAATAGGTGGGGGAGATACAGTACCGAGTACGAGTACGAGGTAAGGATACCAGTTTCACTAGTCGACATATCACACCCTTGTCCTTCGGGAAACTTATCCGAGTAGGACGGCATGAGGCCAAGTCCAAAACAGGAGATCATGACATGCTGTTTGATTGTTGATGTACATAGCGTATTGCGTGTGAACCCCAACAAGGCATACACAGGCTGTTTCGCGAACAACGCGGGCCAACATCAAGCTTGTTGCAAGACTGCTTTGTCCAGAGACCTTAGAGGAATCGTTAACTGACAGCAACAAACTACAATGAGTCGACAAAATCGAGACTTCTAATTTACACCCTTTGTCGCCATGGATGTTGCGTCGGCCGTCCAGAACTACATCTCCAAGATCGCTGGCCCTGGCGAAGGTGCCGCGGCCACGCAGAGTCAGAAGCTGAAGATTCTCCTACTGGACCCTGCGACTGTGTCCATAGTCTCGACGGCCATCACGCAGTCTGCCCTCCTCAAACACGAAGTCTTCCTCATCGACCGACTCGACAATGCATCGCGCGAGCGCATGCGCCACCTCAGATGTCTCTGCTTCGTCCGGCCATCACCAGACTCGATACAGCTGCTCATTGACGAGTTACGAGATCCCAAGTATGGAGAGTACAACATCTACTTCAGTAACATCATAAAAAAGTCCTCCCTGGAGAGGCTAGCAGAGGCGGATGACCATGAGGTCGTCAAGGCCGTGCAGGAGTACTTTGCGGACTATATCGTGATCAACCCAGACCTGATGTCTTTGAACCTTGGATTCCCAAGGCAACGCTTATGGAGCCATAGTCCAGATATATGGAACACGGACGCACTGCAAAGGACGACGGAAGGCGTGATTGCGTTGCTGCTCTCGCTCAAGAAGCATCCTCTGATCCGCTACGAGAAGAATAGTCTCATGGCAAAGAAACTGGCCACTGAGATCCGATACCAAATGACGCAAGAAGAACAGCTGTTCGATTTCCGCAAAACAGACACATCACCTATCCTGCTTATCCTCGACCGAAGAGATGACCCGATTACCCCTCTACTTACGCAGTGGACCTATCAAGCGCAGGTCCACGAACTATTAGGCATAAACAACGGCAGAGTTGATCTCAGCCATGTTCCTGATGTACGGCCGGAACTACGAGAGATCGTGCTCTCGCAGGACCAAGACCCCTTCTTCAAGAAGAACATGTACCAAAACTTCGGCGACCTAGGTGGAAACATCAAGGAATATGTCGACCAATACCAAACGCGGACAAAGTCCAATGCCCAAATCGAATCAATAGCCGATATGAAGCGCTTCGTAGAGGACTATCCCGAATTCCGCAAATTATCTGGGAACGTATCGAAACACGTAACCCTAGTCAGCGAACTCAGTCGGCGTGTGTCAGCGGACCTGCTGCTGGACGTCTCGGAGCTCGAACAGAGCCTCGTCTGCAACGACAACCACAATAACGATCTGCGAACTCTTCAACAACACATTCAGAACCCCAGCATCCCCGCCGATAATAAGATCCGTCTCGTGGCACTGTACGCCATCAGACACGAACGTAACCCGAACAACGCTCTGCCCGTACTACTCGATCTCCTCACCACCGTCGCCGACATCTCTCCGCACAAGTTGTCCATCATACCCAAACTCCTCGCATACCACCACAGTCTCCAGCCCGCACCTGTGGCCGGCGGATTCACAGACCTGTTCGAGTCTGCTTCTTCGCCCTTCAGCCAGTTCCGGCGCAACCTCAACCTCAAGGGCGTTGAGAACGTGTACACGCAGCACTCGCCCCGTCTGGAAAACACACTTCAGAACCTGATCAAGGGGAGGCTGAAGGAGCTGCAGTACCCCTTCCTGGAAGGCCACACGCGCGACAAGCCTCAGGACATTGTCGTTTTCATGATCGGAGGCGTGACGTACGAAGAGGCCAAGATGGTGGCCCAAGTCAACGCATCAGTCCCCGGTGTACGAGTCGTGCTTGGAGGGACATGCGTGCATAATTCAGCCACGTTTCTTGAAGAAGTCGACGATGCTGTGGGAAGTTGGCCTGATCAAGGTCCAACGACGGCGCAGGGGAGGTTGGGAAGAGCTGTGGGGAGATGACGCCTGCACCTTTGACTGCCCGTACAATTCTAGGTTGTGCAATATAGGTACTCTCAGTCGTTGTTAGTACAAGTACTGAGGCAGGCGGCCAATCTAATTATGCGAGTCTTCAATAATGATGAGTCAAGTGGACGAAATAATGAAAAATCACGATGCCATGATGAAAGCGTTTCCCCTTTAGTTGCTTGTGCTACTTCTTGTGTTCTCGCGCCGTATCGTGCCGTTCGCCTGTCTTCAAACCACTCTATGATAGAATTGCCAGTAGTTGCTTTTAGGCATGCAATTGACGCCCAGGAGGTTTTTTCCCGAAGCTGATGCTTAAAGCCCCACCGTAGTGCCCATATACCTCTACAAACATTTCATGAAGCTGACATAAAACTTTCTCTCAAAAAGACAAAATCGGTCCATTATGAGCGGACCGGGTCTCAACGCCACTGACCGACTCAAGCTGTGACCTTTGCACTGTATTTGGCAGCGGCAGCATCGAAAAGTGCACTCTTCTCCTCTAGATCTTTCAACAACACGTGCCCTTGATCCCGCTCTCGTAACTGTTCGATCAGTCCCTTTACCACATCGTCCTTCTTGCCCATGACGCTCGCCAGTACGATGCTATTCGCGATGGCCTGGACATCGGCCCCGTCGCTGCTCACAGCCTGTTGTAACGCGACTTCGGCCTCCTCTAGCCGTCCGAGATGCAACTCGGCAATAGCCTGACACAAAAGTGCGGTCGGAGAGGTGTTCCCTGGGGCACTGGCGAGTTCTTCATATACGTAAAATGCCGACTGGTATTTCTCGCTGCCTCCTGCGCGAAGGTTCGTCCATGACTCGGCGAGGTTGATCAGGAGGCTGTCATTAGCCCAGCGCTTTGCACCCTGCACTTCTTTGACGGCCAGATCGGTCCTGTTCTGGGAGAGGCGGATCTGCACGAGCAAGCCAACGGCTTCGAGACTTCCTTGGTGTTTTGATAGAAGATCGATTGCGGTTGCATATTCGCCGGCGGATGCAAGGACTGTCCCGGCGCAGACTTGAACTACCGGGTCTTCGGCGGTGGATGCGTCTGTTGCCAGTTCTGTCGCGGCCTCGACATCGTTCTGGGCGAGAGCCAATAACGCGCGGGACGAAGGAGAGCTGGATGCTTTGGGTTTCAATTCGGATATGACGGACGAAGAGTCGCCCAGGGCGATTTGAGCCCGGTATTTGAGTGTTTGAGCAACAGCCTGGTTCGCAGGAGAGAGAGCAGAGGTGTCAAAGTCCAGTACTGTTTGGTAGGCGTGGGTGTAGAAGGCTGTTGTTATGTTGAGGAGTTCTAGGTCAGACGCATTAGTCGGGAATTGACCAAGTCACAAAGGGAGCGATCCAGGACTCACCACCCTCGCCGGAGAAAGGGTCCATCTTGAGGACGTAGGGGGATTGTGCAGGTCAGCGACTTGGTCTGAAACTGAACAGAACTGGGTGAGGTCGGTTGTGTTGTCTTCACAATTGCACGTGTAGACACCGGCGACAAGTGTCCCCTTCAATGCCGCAGTAGGGCATCGCCACTAAGGCGGCAGGTGCGGCGAGGCTGAGACTCTCCGCATCGAAATCGCGACAACGATCGACCACGAGGAGACTGGACGAAGCACGTCTCATTCTCGTCCGACGACAACAGAATCATTCATATCTCCTGAATCTATCCCTCACTATTCACGCAGCGACGAACACCTTCGCCGTCTAGTCCTGCCTCCTTCGAGCCGTCGGATTGCGGCAAGCACTGAGATCACACTTTCAGCCCGTATCAATCATGCCTCGGGGTGCACGCTTCAGCTTCACCTACAACAGCATAGTCCTGGACTACAAAGCCATCCAGACACGCAAGGCAATGAGCCGAGTCAAAACCAACTACCACCTCTTCCTTAAGAACCAGCCACCCGCGCCACAGTTCAAGACACAGGACCTTGGTCCATCAAGAAAGTGGGAGGTGCCTAGGATGAGGAACCTTGAAGAGTGACGATGGCGAAATGTCATAGAATTGTAAAACAGAAACAGCATGGTGTCTGGCGTTTGGTCGGAGTTTTTATCTTTGGCATTGACATGACTGAATTCAACTTCAACACTATGTACGAGAATCCCAGCTCTACACCATATTCACAATTTTCAAGACTCTCAATACACTCTCATGGAACCAGGCCCTCATTTCAAGTACAGTTACTCCTTCAGCGGCACCGTGGTCACAAACAAGCTCTTCGAGAATGACTCGGGATACCGTTCGCCATGAACTTCCGCTGCAGTGATTGCCTTTCTGATCTTCTCGTTGTCTTCGGGCGTGATCTTCACCTTCAAGGCTCCCATGTTTTCATCGAAATTCTTGATCTTTGTCGTACCGGGGATCGGAATGATATCATCCCCTTGAGCCATCAGGAATGCCAGGATCAGTTGTGCAGGAGTGCAACCCTTGTCATCAGCCAGTGCCTTGATATCTTCGACCAGCTTCAAGTTCTTGGGGAAATTTTCCTCGTTGAATCTCGGCGCGAGTCTGCGGAAATCTCCTTCTTCGAGATCGTTGCGGCTCTTGATGGAACCCGTCAAGAAGCCTCGTCCGAGAGGTGAGTATGCCACGACCGCAACGCCGAGTTCTCTAGCAGTCTGAAGCAAGTTGTATTGCGGGTCCTCGATTTCCAGCGAGAAAGGACTGTACTCCATCTGCACGGCGTCAATGTGAACAATCTTGCACGCCCTTCTCAGCGACTCCGCAGAGCACTCGCTCATGCCCAGATACTTGACCTTGCCAGCGTCTTTGAGCTCCTTCATGGCCTTGACAGTGATCTCGACGGGCTGCTTGGCGTCCAATCGATGGGCGTAGTACAAGTCGATATAATCCACGCCGAGCCTCTGGAGGGAGCGGTCGCATGCCTGACGGACGTATTCCGGCTCGTTGTGAACTTCTCTCAGGCCGGTGGCGGGATTAACGTAGTTGGCGAACTTTGTGGCTAGGAAGATGGTCTCACGTTTTCCAGGGTTGCGCTTGAACCATCGACCCAGCAAGTCTTCGTTATCCCCATATATGTCGGCGCTGTCCCAGAAACGTTCGCCAGACTCGTAGACGTGGTCAAGCAGGGCGTAGCGTTCTTCATCGGGCTTCGTTGCACCGTAGAACGCAGACAGGCCCATCGCACCGAAGCCCAGGGCGGTCACTTCAGGGCCATTTTTGCCGAGTTTGCGAGTAGGAAGCTGAGGAGCCATGTTGGAATGCTTATGGTTCCTGCTTTAGTACCTAGGGAGTGGTGGGCACTAGGTATTGAGGTGGCTGTGGTCGTGATTGTTTGCTGAGAATGCACGACCTTTGAACTGATAGACGATGGGCTTTTATTTATATACCCTTTCTCGTGCGGAGTCAATTCTTGCTCGAACATTCGTATTGCGTACTCGTAGAGCAAGCTCGAGCTGTGGCAAAGGCATTCTGGATCCCCCCTCGGAGTTAAGATGATGTCAAGGCTAAATGTTCGACACCGGGCTTGAGGAGGCGGCCGCACAAGCCGCAACACCAGATGTCTATCATCGAACAACTGTCCCGCAGCAGGTAAGTCCAGTAGGTGTCTTAAGAGCAGCCTCATTATCAAGTGAGATGTTTCTTCTCGTGCCGTAGCATGTCTGCTACAATGAATTGTCAGGTGATGATTGCTCTAACTGACCCCTCCTTGTACGTGCCAACATCGCCAACCGCTTGCTCGCAATGCCTCGGTCCCGTGCTTGATCTTGGAGTCATGAACAGTACATATTGGCAGCTATCATCGTCTACCAAGGCTGCTGAATCACATTCAAGAAGAACGAGCCTACGATATGAGCGCAATGGCGTCATATCCGCCATCGCATCAACTCGCTCGTCTCGTCGGGCCCAGTCTTGCCGCGATATCTCTCACCGAACACCTGAATGCTCACATATGGTCCAACAACACGCCGGCGGTCATCGCTCTCAACGGCTCTATACTATTTATCTCAGGACTGGCCATCTTACAACGACACAACTTCTGGAGCCGGGATTGGAGACTCCTCCTCACGCTAGTCGGCTGGAGTAGCCTCTGCCTTGGTTTGATGCGCATGGCCATCCCAGAACGTGTTCTCAAGCGAGTACGCTCAGCCGGTCCAAGGGAGATTCGAATTGTATCGAGCGTCACTGCCGCCGTAGGAGGCGTGTTGACCTTGTTTGGGTACTTCCCATGGCTGACTCATTGTGAAGACCTTGGAAGGTAACCAACCACTGCTACACCACGGGTGATATACCACCAGATACAGGAACTCACACCTTGGTCATCTGAACAGGCTCTATATCTCCTCGCCCTGTCCGAACCTCCCTCTCCTCCCAACGACAGTCATAACCTCATGACGTACGAAACACTCGCAACCCTCGTTCTGACACGTCCACCGGTCCCTGTCAGTGAAGGGATTCCCTTGCCTGTGTTGATATATCCTGTCTATAAACGGTGCCCGAGTCGTCGCCGTGCGCGCACTTGCTGTCTTTTACTTCGGGCCAGGAATGCCCGTGTCCATCAGCTGAGGCATGAATGGATACGGATGGTTGCTTCGATACTTGGGTTGAGTGAACTTTGGTTTTCACAATCCAAGCACAACATTACGTACACAGAAACTGTATATTGAAACTCAGCATCTGTCGTGACTGAGTGGTTTCTTGTCATTATATTCCGCAGAGGGCCCTGGCTGTCTTCTCCTTGCTACGAGCATGAAGCACACGAAGATCATGACCTTTACTGGTCGGTCAAAGAGTAATCCGCGGCAAGCCAGAAATCATCCTGGTTTCCAGCGTCGCTCCCATATCTTGGGTACGAATGCCACTGATGCTGCGGTGTAACACTCAAACCTCAAACCACGTAATGCAAATAGTGAAAACGTATCCATATTCTAGCGTCGACAACGCAAACTGTTGACGTGGTTTCGATGCGGAACAAGGCTGAATGACATATTGTAGGCGGGCCGTTGTTATCGATAAGAGATCGTTGACTTGGATACCTTCCTCGAGGAATAATTATTTCCGACGACAACCGAATGAGTAATTTCTTGTCTCCTCGAACGTTTCCGCTCGCAACTTCGTCAACCGTCAGTTGTCTGGAGAATTTCCCCCGTATGATGGCGGGTGACTGTAGGAGGATAACACCATGCTGAACACGTACTCTCCGCAGTTATGGCTCTCGCTCAGACCGTCGTCGGCGTTGTCGTCACAAATCGCAACCCTTCTTGCCAAACCACGACCATTGTTCGCGGCTGCGACAAGGCATTCCCACCACGATGCTGGTGCTGGTGCTGGTGCTGCGGGCGCGGCCAACAACGACCGACCTAGTCCCACGATAGCCATCATTGGGTCTGGGCCTGCGGGCTTCTACACTGCGCACAAGGTGATGCGAGAACTCAAGGGGACCAAAATAGACATGTACGAACAGCTACCTGTGCCGTTCGGTCTGGTCAGGTTCGGAGTGGCACCAGATCACCCAGAGGTAAAGGTTCGCAGAATCTTGCATTCCACTCTCATGGGAGACTACCTACCTACCCATCCACCCACCTACCTACCTGCATGCCTACTGACGACCACCCATAGAATGTCCAAGACACGTTCCAGGACATTGCCGCGTCTCCTGACTACAACTTCATCGGCAACGTGAACCTCGGGCACGACCTGCCTCTTCCATTGCTCGCGAAACACTACGACGCGATCGTGTTCGCGTACGGTGCGTCGCAGGATCGCAAGATAGGACTAGAAGGCGAAGACAAACCGCACATATACTCCGCGCGGGCCTTTGTAGGGTGGTACAACGGCCTTCCCGAGTACCGCGATTTGAACCCGGACTTGACAGCCGGCGACACGGCCGTGGTCGTCGGACAGGGGAACGTGGCGCTGGACGTCGCAAGGACGCTGCTGAGCAAGCTCGACCAGCTGAAGAAGACGGACATGACGGAATACGCGCTCGACACGCTATCTCGGAGCACCATCAGGCACGTCCACGTCGTCGGCCGGCGGGGGCCCATGCAGGCGGCGTTCACGATCAAGGAAGTCAGAGAGCTACTGCAGCTTGACGACGTCAGTTTCGAACCGATCCCCGAGAGGCTCTTCCCACAGGACCTGAAGAGCCTGCCCCGTCCCAAGAGAAGGCTAATGGAGCTTCTGAAGAAGGGAAGCAGCCAGAAGCCCGGAGCCACGAAATCGTGGTCGTTGGACTTCCTCCTCTCTCCGAAATCGCTGTCCTGGTCGTCTTCGGAACCCGACAAGCTCGAAGGAGTCGTCTTTTCCAAGACGAAACTCGCAGATCCCGACTCGCCCGACTCCAAAGTCACGAACACGGACGAAACACGGCTTGTCCCCACGTCGACGCTGTTCAGGTCGATAGGGTACAAAGCCGAAGCCATACCCGGCATGCGAGAGATCGGGGCCGACTTTGACGAGCAGAGGGGAACCATTCGACACGACGGTTCCGGCAGGGTGCTGGCTCTCGGTGAGTCACAAAACGTCGCCGAGCAAAAGGCGAGCTTGTACTGCGCTGGCTGGGTCAAGCGTGGACCTACCGGTGTCATCGCCAGTACCATGACGGACGCCTTCGAGACCGCCGAGGCCATCGTCCAAGACTGGAAGAAGGCGTTCGGGTCAGACCACGTCCCTCCCCGACCCAGTCGCGCAGGCTGGAAGGGTGTGCAAGCAGATGCCGAGGCGCAAAAGCTACCTCTTCGACCTGTCCATTGGTCCAGGTGGCAGAAGATTGACGCCGCAGAGAAATCCGTCGGTGCAGCTCACGGGAAACCGAGAGAGAAATTCGGTAGTGTCGATGAGATGCTCAAAGTCTCCAAAGAGTGATAACTTGACGCTAGGCTTTGTCTTGCTCTCTTTGTGTGTACCATACAAGATGATGTATATATATGTACCCCTCAAAACCATGTACCGGAGAGTATGATGCAGAGTTATAAAACATCGTGTATAGTATAGAGATATAGACGGCTCTCCGGCTCTCCTCTCTCATCTCTCATATCTCTCTCATACCTTTGCTTTCTCTCCGTACAATATATCCTCTACTCGCTCCGCAATGGCCAAGGCACTCGTCAAGCCCGGACTCTCGATTCCCAGAAGGTTCACGAACCCAGGAAACCCATGTTCCTCACAGATTATAAAATCCTCAAACCCCTTGCCGTCCTTGCCGTACGTACCGCTGCTGCCCGGGCTCAGTTTCGGCCTGATGCCGCAGTAGTCCAAGTCGATGGCGCCGACGTCCACGGAAGGCAGGTACGTCTGGATGACCTTCACGGCGTCCGCGAGCCGCGCAGGGTTCGGGGTCAGGTCGGTCGGGTCGTCCACCCACTCCACGTCCGGGCCGAACCTGGCGCGGCCGCCCATGTCGAGCGTCAGGTGCGTGCCCAGTCCACCCAAGCCGGGGACGGGCGCAGGGTACAGCAGCGTCTTGACGCGCGGCCTGGACGCCGAGTACGAGAAGTACGTTCCCTTTGCGAAGTAGGCAGTGCGGTGCCGCTCGGGCGGGAGGAGCATGTTGTTGACGGCGATGGCGCCCAGCCCGGCGGCGTTGACCACGCATTCGGCCGTGATGGTGTCTTCACCCCCCGCGCCGTCGCGGCTGCGCGTGCGGATCTCGTAGGACGTTATTCCGTTGCCCGGGTCGTCGGCACTCGGCCCGCCGCCGCTGCGGACGGCTTCAACGCCCGTCACGACGGTATGCAGAACCTGGTCGCCGCCCAGACTGTCCAGGTCGCCCTCGAGGTACGACATGAGCGCGTGGGAGTCGACGATGCCCGTCGTCGGCGACTCGAGAACCCCCGCGTCGGCGCGCACGTCCGGTTCGCGGTCCTGGATCTCGCGACGGGACAGGAACGACGTGGGCACGTCGATTGACTTTGTGAACGCGTGCAGGTCAGTGAGGTGCTGCATCTGCCGCTCGTCCTGGGCGATGATCCACTTTTTCGTCCGCCGGTAGGGGATCGATTTGGTCTCGCAGAGGTCGTAGAGGAGGTTTTTGCCACGGATGCAGAGGCGCGTCTTCAGACTCGAAGGCCCGTAGTAGATGCCTGCGTGAATGACCTGTTACAAGAAGCCCCGACAAGGCGGGGGTCATGTCAGTTACCAAGGAATTAGGTAACTACGTCTATTTTGACCATTGAGATGATGTAGATGTGGCTGCGGCTTCTGCTTCGACTTCCGCTTCTGCTGATGGCGTCGGGGTGAGAGGCAGGAGGGGGGGGGGGGGGGGGGGGGACAGACGAGAGAGCGTGAGGTGATGGTGTGAATGTATTACAAAGACAGTCAAGGGCCGGTGAAGAGCCACCAAGATACCCTGGATGACTGAGCAGTAAGGGCCATCTGGAAGAACACAAAACATACCTCGGAATTCCTGCTGCTGGTCTCAGTCCCTACCGACCCATGCCTCTCGATCAATATCGTACTCGTCCCCGTCCGTTGCGCGAGCTGACGGGCGATAGCGAGACCAACCACGCCGCCTCCAATGACCTATGCACAGCCAGCTCAGCCGCCACGTACCAGCAGTTATCTTTGACAACAGACACAACTAGCCTGTAGATGACAATATAATCTGGGCCCTTGCGCCAATCAAGGAGAAAGTAAAAACGTGACGCAACTTACAGCGTGAGTAAAATCCGCATCGTTGGATCTCGAAGTCGAAAACGTCCTCCTCACCGCTGAAGAATCGCGAGGCAGTCTTCTTGCCAGTAGTAGTAGCACGCTCCGGCTTTTCGAGATGGTCTGTTCCATCTTTACGGGCACCAAATTCTTCCCGTATTTCTTTCTTTCTTTTCTTTCTCCTGATCTCTTTCCCGTGCTTGGGCTCGTTTTCCTTGTCGTCGGTCACCTCAAGAGACCTGTCGATACTTCTCTCGAGATACTTTCTGTGTAAAAGACGACGTCGGTTCTCATCTCACGCGGCTTTGACTGACGGGACCCCGCGTCGTGTGTGAGACAAAAGAGCCTGACGATGTTACCATGCCACCAACACAACGTCGCGAACTGGCGTGGCTGATTAATGATGGCTCCTCGAAACCCCAGCTGTAAGCTATCACGGTAAGTCGACTCGCACCGCTCTCGAAGCAACTAAACCTTTGACCTGGACGGGTAGGCAGTGCTTCTTCTGCGTAGTGGCGCATGCACCTATTGTTCTTGTGGCCAGGTGATGTCGAGGTGAATATGGACAGGAGTGCCTCAACAAGGCTGAACCTTATCTTGGCGTCTATTCATATACTCGGTCGGCCCTTGAATAGAAAAAAATTGTACTTGGTAGGTCCTACACAAACAAAATTCCGTCCAAAACAAATGCAAACAATGGTGAGGAGGAAAAGTCCGCCTGCTTATGGTCGCAAATCCAAGTATTTAGCAGCAACCATGAGTCAACATTATAGCTGATAACGGGCTTCTGCAAGATGACGTCTGAGGAATTTTCTTGATTAAGGTATGATAATGATAAAACGCTTCAGCCTCGTTCCGCTGCGCAGACGGATAAAAGGTGGACGCTGATCGTCCGTAAGTCGATGAGCTATCCAAGCTCGTTGCCTTCGTGGCTTCAATCTATCTACAATTACGCATGCTTCTTCTCTTCCTCGAGGTGGGTTCTCAAAAAATCAAAGGACTTTGTTGCGCCAATCTTGTGTACCACGAAACCCTGAGCCAAATCAAATGCAGTCATGCCACGGCGTCTACTCGTCTTCGATTACGAGTTTGTTGAGGTGGAAATTTCTTTGTAACTGTCGCTCAAAAGTACGACTCCAATACCGACAAACCGGGAAACACAAAGGGCCTGAATGGTCATGTCTAAGCTCGTTCCGTAAAGGTCAACCTGCAATGGTCCTAAAGTTTGAGTTAGCAAATATCCCACCACACTCAACAATAGATCAGAGCTTACCTGAGGAAAGATGGTTGCAAAGACTTCAATATCCTCGCTGATGGCGGTTGGCTCATGCACCCAATCCAAGAGTATGCTTGCCTTGCCAATCATTGCCATCAGATTCAACTGAGCATAAGTCTGTCCCAAGCAATGGTGAGGTCCAGTGCCAAAAACCAACCAATTCTTGACCTGCTTGTCTGCATCACCAGTGATCCATCGCTCAGGAACAAAGTTGTCGGGATCTGGATAAGCTTCAGGGTCATGGGTCGCAGGCCAAAGCGCGGGGATGACCATGGATCCCTTCTTTATCGTATAGTTCTCTGTCATAGGGAAGTCTTTTTTGGCAACGTAGGGCACGAAAATAACTGGAGGACGATAACGAAGAGTCTCCTTCACAACGGCCCTTGTCCATACCATGGACTCCAGCATGTCCATGTCGAATGGCTTGTTGCGGTCACCGCCTCGAAGGGCAAGGTTTTCCTCTCGAACCTTGGCCAAGATTTCTGGTCGGTCGGCCATGATCTGGAACAGCCAGGTACATGCGCTCGAGGTCGCATCTTGTGAAGCAAACAACATAGTGAACATCGTTTGGGAAATTTCCATGTCGCTGAATTCTCGAAGCACCTGAGCTGGCTTCTCGGACGAGTCGACGGTCTCACCTCTTGCAATGCGCTCCCTGTACTTGGCCGAATCTTGCATTTGCTTGATCCAAGCATCCATGGTACAAGTGATCGAGCCGCCGGCAGCCATGCGAACCTTGGACTTTGCTGCACACTTGGCAAATTCGTCCATGACCATGTCGCATGCCTTCTTTCCATACCAAGTCTTGGTGTAGGGAATTATAAAGGGGAAATTGACCAGCTCCAACGACGCAGTGATGAGATAGTAGTCCTCGGCAATCTTCTTGACCACCTGATCGCTCATGTAGTGACCAACAAAAGTCCTGCATGACACAGCGGTCATCAGCTCTCGAAGAATTGGCATCCACGCCTTTGGCTTCATATTGTTCTCCTTGGACTCATTGACAAAAATCTTGAAATATCGGCTGTAAACTTCCTCTTGTCCTGGGAGATACGCTTCCAGTGCTTGGCGGGTAAACAGGCCGTTCAGGCCTTTGCGGTAGTCGACATGTTCGCGGCCATCGAGGAAGACCCAATTCGTCGGCCGGAGGAGCTTTGGAGCAATATCGACAACGGTGGGTTTGAGAAATGCGGGTGAATTGAAGATCTTTCTCGCGGTATCTCGGGAAGCGCCGATGACCACGAATCTGATCCGATGGTTAGCTCAGGGAGACTATCGACAGGAAGCAACTATGCTTACTTGTGGAAGACGGAAACGCAGCTCAGGTCGCCGCTTTCCCACTTCTGTTTGTATTTTTTGAACTCCGGGCGCATCGATTCGAGAAACGGTCCCATAAACGGCAGTTTCCATGCCGGTCCAACGATGCCATACTTTTGATATTGGTAACTGCCTGTATAACCGTTAGCTGTCGCGACTGCGGTGACCGCTCCGTGTCGTCTCACATTGATCGTATGCTATCAATAGCGCGAGAATAGTAAACAAAACTGTCCAGACATTGAGCTGGGCGACAATCCTGCCCACGAACCCCGAGGCGTCGGCGGCCTGAATCTTTAACTGGGCGTCTGCGAGGGGCGAGGTGAAAGCTGTTCGATTGGCGACGATATCCATGGCGTAGGCTTAACTTGGGTAGGGTAAGGGCCGATTGTCGAATGGGGGCGTCGTGGTTCCTGGCAATAACAGCGCAGATTTGTCACCACAGGCCAATGGCGATTGTGAAACGAGCGTCTGTTGAGCGCAAAAGCACTTCGCTCTGTATGTGTACAGACAACAAAAAAGAGAAAAGAGCCGTAGGATGGAGATAACGAGGTAGAGAGAGTTCGAGAGCGCGAAAGTCAAAAAGCAGGTGGGGATCCGAGAAATACAAAGCCTCCCTTTCCGCACACCGCCAGAGGTCGTATTAGGTAGCAATGGAGGAGCAATGGAGGAGCTATGGAGGAGCTCTCCTGTGGGCTGTAGGTGGTGTCCGTGGTATGAAGTATGTAGGCGAGATGGGCAATTTTTCCACTGTCTGCCGTGGGAGATTGACGGTGGAAAATGCCGTCCGTCGACCGTGTCCCCTGTCCGGGTGTCCCTGACTCTGCTGTATCTTCTATTGGCCTGAAGAGCCTCACTAGGCGAGGATCCGCATCGGTTCCACGACACCCGAATCGCGTCACTTAGCAGTTGGCAGCATCGCACCACTGCGCGAAGTCAGTCCCTACCTCTGCAGTACACACCACACCACCACCATTAGTCATCATCTGACGGGGCCCTGGACGCCGGTACATGGGATATGATTCAGCAGCGTAGACCCCTCGTCAGCCAACGTGGACACCCTGTGCGCATACTTGTAGCTGACGAAATCAGTGTTCTTTTCTATCTGTAGGTATAATGCGGCTCCAGACTGGGATTTGCACCATGGCAGCAGCCCTTGTTGTGAGATCATACACCCGACACAGCAGAGAGAAGATTCTTCAATCTGGCCATTCATCATAAGCTTATCATCATCCTACGCCATTTGCCAAGCCCCTCCAATAATACAGATGCTATTTTCCTCCCAGCTTTCGTGATCATGGTTCAACAACTAAGTACTTTTGTCGTGTCAAGGCAGCCCTCTAAGGGATGTCAAATAGCGGTTTCATCTTCCTGATCAACGACCATTCTTCCTTGGTTACTTCGTCTCGATAGAACTCCTTGAGAGTGTCAATTGACTGTCGAGAGATCAACGAGTACAAGGTGTCCTTCTCGTCCAGTTGTCGACCATATAGGGGCTGGTTGGGCCCTTCGATCTTGACCGCAACGGCTGGCTGGCCCTTTTTGCAAATCGGGATCGCCTTGTGTTCTCGCTCAATCGTAGTCCTGCTGAATGTCAGTTGTGATCGAAATTACTACAGCATGCGTGATACTCACACCCTACCCAAAGAGACAATTTCCTTCACGTGAGTCACAGGGTTCGTTCTGACGGCAGCGATTGGCGTCAGAGGTCGGAGACTGCCGTCTACAACATCGACACCCACAACAATAGGGTCTTTCTTGTTGAACACCTGCAATGGATGGAGAACGCATGGGAATACAGCGTTGAGCTTGCTCTCCTCCTTGCGCTGTTCGGCAAGCTGGTTCCGATATTTGGTGAAGTCATCAAAGAGGTGGTAGATGATGTCGGCGGTGAAAATCTTGATGCCGTTCTCGTCTGCGTACTGTTGGGCTTCCTTGTCTACTTTAACATCGAAGCAGAGCATGACCGCGAATTCCTTGGCCTTTTCCAGCATCGTGCCTGCCATCATCACATCGCGTTTGAAAACAGGTCCGATGGAAATGTTTGCCACAGGGATCTTCATGTCTTTCAAGAACTTTAACAAGGCTTCCAGGGAACCCAGTGTTGAAGCCTGGACGCTGACACCACGATTGTCCTTGGATACAGCGGTAAGAAGTTTCTGGAGATCACCCATCACATCATCCTCCAAGTCTTCTTCGTCGTCTTGAGGTCCGACCACAAGCAGACGTGAGCCAGCAATTGCGCCTTCCAGGTCATTGGCCGCAATCTTGACACCGAGGGCAGCCTTGACTTCCTTGTTGTGCACATATGCTGACTTGAGACGGAGTTCTTTAAGTGGAGCAGGCGTTAATAGCGCTCGAATGTTCGTGGCGATAGGTCCGTTGATACCACACAAGACTATTCGATCACCTTCCCGAAGAACACCGTTTGATAAGATGACATCGATCGTCGTACCAAGACCTTCAATAACCTTAACTTCAAGAATGGTGGCCTCAACTTCAGATAGATACATAAGACTGGAAGTCATACGTTCTTGGGTCAGAGTAACCAAAAGCTTCAGCATATCAGGGATACCTTCGCCGGTATGCGCCGAGGTGGGAACCAGCGACACAAATCTTCTCATGTCTTTGTTTTCGTAGTAGAGCTCAGCATTGAATCCTTGCTCAGCAAAGGCAAGCTTGGTCTTGTCAAGTCGGTCCTTAAATTCGTTGACGACGCCCTTGTTCTGCATCGCCAAGCTTTCCTGGAAACCATTGTTATCGATCTTCTTCCAACCGTACAAACGATCAATCTTGTTGAGCGCGACAATGAACGGGATCTTGCGTTCTCTGAGAAGGTTCATGGATTCAATGGTCTGAGGCTCGAGACCGTGCATAATATCGACCACTAGGATGGCAATGTTGCAAAGTGAAGAACCACGAGAACGCAGATTGGAGAAAGACTCGTGACCAGGGGTATCGATGACAAGAAGACCCGGCACTTTGAATTCAAACTTGCCGTCCTTGTTGACGACAGCCGTTTTCTGTTGTAGGGCTTCAACAGGGAAATAAGTAGCGCCAATCTGTTGCGTAATGCCACCAGCTTCGCCCTCCTGGACGTTTGTCTGTCGAATCTTATCAAGCAACTTCGTCTTGCCAGTATCGACGTGACCGAGAATACAGCAGATAGGTGATCGCAGGTTGTCTTTGGACCGCGCTGCAAGCGCTTCTTCATGTGCTTTTTGCCGACGAGCAGCAGCCTCTGCTTTTCTTTGAGCAATCGCTCGCTGATTGGAAGTCTGTTCTTCGTCATCCGAGGAGTCCTCATCGGACGTGTCTGACTCAATTGGTCTCTCTTTAGGCGGGGGTCCATCTCGCAGTGGCAATGTTGAACTTTTTGATGGTTTAGTGGCTGCACCATTAATTGCAGCTTTCGCATTACCGTTGACTGTCGGCTTGGCCGGTTCCTCATCTGAATCAGCATCCCAGCTGTCCTTGACGTCTTCATCCGCGGCCTTTTCCCAGTCGTCAAGCTCAGACTCTTCATCATTTCCCGCGTTTGCAGCTTCGGCAGCGGCGGCGGCCGCTTCGGCCTCCTTTGCAAGTCTCTCGCGTTCAGCTGCTGCAGCTTCAGCTTCTTGTCTGGCTTTCTCTGCGGCAGCCTCCAGGTCAACTTCCTCTTTCTTTGGCCCTTTGCGCTTCTTGTCAAAGGCAGGCTTCTTTTTCTCTTCCGTTGTTTCACTCAGACCCGCGACTTTGACCCCCGCTTCTAGCATCTGTTGCAAGCGGAGTTCTTGCTGCTGTTTGCGCTTCTTGTCTGCCTCAGATAGCAACTTGCCTTCCTTTCGGAGTTGCTCCTTCTTCTCCTTCTCCTTCTCCTTCTTTCGCTGTCTAGCTTCGGCTTTCTTGGCCTCCTCCTCAGCTTCTTTTCGTAGTCGTTCCGCTTCCAAAGCTTTCTCTTCAGCCTCGAGTCTGGCTTCCTCTTCTCTCTGTCGTGCAAGAGCTTCCTGCTGCTTTTGAATGGCTGCCAGGTGGGCAGGAACCTTTTTCTTTTTACCAGCCTTATCTGTCTCTGCTGCAACTTCGGGCTTCTTTTCTTCCACAGGCTTCACTTCCTCAGCCTTCGGCGCAGGGGTCGGTGCCGTGGTCTTCTTTTTGGCGGCTTGTTCCTTCTTGCGCTGCTTCTCTCGCTCTTTCTTCTCTCGCTCCTTTTCTTTCTTTGACTTGACGCCTCCTCCCTCGCCATCGTCTCCATCATCGGCTTGCTTCTTGTTACCTTTGGTCTTCTTCGCATTTCCAGCGAAAACATCATCCTCGTCGTCGAGCGTGGCTTCGGCTGGAGCCTTAGCAGCGAAGTCTTCGGCAGGCGGGGTGGGAGCAGCACCATCGGCGTCTTCGCCTTCAACAAAGTCGTTGACGGGTTTGCCCTTCTTTGCACGTTTGTCTCTGTTTTTTCTGAGTGCAGCCATCAAGCCGCCTGCGTTGACTTCCTCCTCAGCGGCATCCTCAGTCGCTTCTGCCTTTTTGGCATCCGCAGTGGCTTGGGCGATGGGATCGATGGTCTCACCCATGTCGGCATCCCAATCGTCCGCCTGCTTCTTGCCTCCCTTCTTCTTCGGCGCCATGGTGATTATTATGTCGTGCGAGATGAGGAGATTGTGTTAGGGTATGAAGCGTCCACCATGGAAAGTGGATGCATTCAGTCGGGTTCAAATGGGTTCAGATTCGATGGTAAGGACGAGGAGTGCCTCGAACGGGAGAGCAAAAAATAGTTGTCGACACAAGGCAAGATTAGAACGCCCTTTGCCACTGTCGAGAGCCGGATTTAAGAGATGTCTTCGTGCGTGGGTAGAGACGATAGTGGGGTTTTTGCAAACAGCCTACAAGTTTCGTCACTGGCGAACCATCAGGCTCAGAGCGCTTGGCGCCTCAAGCAAGCTTTTGGACATAAATGTTTCCCAGCAGTCCACTCCCTCCGTTGAGTACACCGAGAGCATAAACTACTGTTTGATCCCGCAGACTAGGAACGAACGGCAATGGCTTCTGCTCATAGCCCAACACTGTCTGTCCCTGATTGGCGAGTTTGTGGTTTGCGTAACTGGTCCATCTTTATTGATCTCCTTTGACCAGTCATTCTTCTACGGCCCTGTCATCAGTGCTATATAACAACCCGCCCTGCCCGCTCTCTGAGTCATACGTTACAACGATGCAGCGAACTTCTTGGCCCCGTCAACACCGTGAAACCAGCTCACACGGTCCTTGACGAAGAGTTCCAGCTGAGGTCTCAACTTTGTCTCGTGCAAGCTGAAGTCGTCGACGGAGCCAATGCGCAGAAAGCTGACCTCGGGATACGCATCCCCCTTCCGATACATGAGTCCACCGCAGGTTGAACAGAAGTAGTTTGTCATCTTCTTGCCAGAGGTGGGTGTCTTATCCTGACCCCAAGATTTCAAGTTCTCTTTGCCCCGGAGATGTTCAATGTGTTTGTCTTGGACGGTGAAGTTCGAGGCAAACATGGACGCAGTGACTTTGCGGCAGTCGTAGCAATTGCAGACGAAGGTGTTGACTAGTCCTGGTCCTTGAATCGGCTGCGACATCAGGCGTTGTTAGCACGGTCCCAATAGCAAAAGGGAAAAGGAAAGGACATGAATATCGAAGCACCAGCAGAGGTCCGTCAGACATCTAGTCAGCTGCCTCCGAGACAGTTTCCCAGGGCAAGAAAAGGACAGCGGTGGAGGGGCACGCACGAACGCAATTTGGACGGCACCGCAGAAGCAAGTCGCCGTGGCTTTGTCCTCGGTGGACCAGCCGTCCCTGGCCACGCCTGCGAGAGGGAAGAAGGGCTTGGAGTTGTCGTGCGTCGTCGCAGCCATTGATGTAGTGTTTGCTGTGGACGGAGGTGGTCTTTTAGACTTGAAGTCGCTGTTTGTAGTCGCTGTGGAGAGTAATGATGGATGGCGGATGGAAGAAAAGGAACACGTCCTCAGGAAGTGACCTTTCCATCCTTTTATACTTCGACTCCTCCTACGAAGAGCCAACTATTCTGCCGTGATGTCAATGCTAGTGTATCTCTCGGTATCCATTCGGTGTTGTTGGCCATGACAAATCCTCAGGGACTATCTGTGTGTGTGTGTGTTCGTAAACAACGACCTGATCTTGGATGCGTGGAATAGGTTAGGGCTGTCATGGCAAGATCCCATTCGCCCCCCTGCTCGGTGATGGTGATGGTATTCAGGGCATCGGGATCATTCGTCCTTCTGCTGAGAAATGCCGCTTGCTGCTGATGGCCCAACAGGGGAATACACCGTCCAAAGAGGAATTTGGGGGATTTTCTGCGGAGTGCGGAACCGACCCCTGCTAAACCTATCTCAGACAGAATTCCCTCTTTCGGTCGTACTCTACTGAGAACGGCAAGAGACAGAAAATCGCTCTATCGACCTAGCCGGTGCTGTCAGTCGAGCACGAGTACTGTACCACCTCGACCTCTTCTTGCCTTGGTGACGCGATTTGCAAAGCAACGATCCTGAATCCAGAGGACCGCCTCCTCCCCCCTCCCCCCTGCGGCGATTATTCTGCAATGTCAAACGCCGTTCATTCTTCTACCCACTCATTAGACGGGTGGTGGAGGAGTTTTCTCACCCACACAGCAACGCTCTCTACGTAGTTTTCTTTCGGCCCCAGCGCACATTCGGCCAAGGCGTTGAACTCTTCCAGCATCGACCCCTTGAGGATTTTGCGCAAGTTGTACGGTCCTTCCTCTATCATCAGAAGTAACCGATCGCCTCGAACGTGCATATCCTTTAATCGGACGACGGGCGGCCGGACGGTGACTTCGTCGCCATCGCCGTCTCGTGCCCTGATAGGAACCGGCTTGATCGATCTGGTAGTCATGTAGCTCGCCTGCTCCAGAAAATGGAGGAGCTTCCATTCGTCATACTGGATCACGGTAAGGTGGAACAAGGTCCCGTCACTGGCACTTGCATAGAAGCGATGTCGGTGAGAAGAGTATTTATTGCGGAGGTAAACCGAGTGTGGCCTGAGGAGAAGGTGGTCGATGAGAAGAGGCAAGTTTGCCTGGAACAACGGGTAGGGCTCTTCGCCGTCCTGGTGGAAACCGCCGAACGCCATGATATCGGTGGTGCCACCGTTCCAGGCAGAGAAAATGGCCGAACTGTTGTCGAAAGGCACAACGTTCTTGGTTGCTCTCGCTTCATTGTCCGACTTGTGCTCGAACAGCTTGTTGGACCGCTCTATCAGCACGAAAAGCGAATGTTTTGCTGTGGCAATGAAGATGAGTGATCCCTGGCACGAAATGCTCTTCGCAGCGGACGGCAATCGGTGTTTTGAAAGCGTCTTCCATTTGCGGGAAGCAAAGTCTAGGTGGTGGAGGTGAATTTCTCTTCCTGCGGCAATCAGGAGAGACGACATCTTGTAAGCGCAAATCGCCGTGACGGGTTGTTCCGGGCTTCTGAACGCAACCTTGGGATTTGTGTCTGGGATCCCTTTGCTGAGGTTCTTTGCATTGACGCAGACAACCCGCCCACTGCACCGAGGAAAGCCTGCCTCCTTTTGCTCAAGAGCTAGGACAAACCATTCGTAATGATGTTCTCCGTCTGTTGGAGCCCAATGGATCAGAGCATTGACACTCTCATTGGTCTCTTCTGTCACAATCACAGAGAGTCGACCGTCGCTGGACGCTTTCAGACTAGGGTCGATGACATGAAGACCCACTTGTTGTATCTTTCGTGGAGGAAGTGATGTCTTCATGCCACTTCCCATCCGACTGGACGGAATATTCTGGAGGTCCTTGGGGCGAGGAGCTCCAGTCAGAAGATGAGTTTTCTCGAAAGCGACAACAAATTTTTCGAGATACTCTGAATACAGCACATGTCGTGGTATGCCATCAGCGGACGTTCTTCGCGTAACGGTTTGTTCTTGAGCTACTAATGAGCAGAATAAAAGCTCGTCCTCGGTTGCACAAACCACCAAGCCACCTGGGTCTTGACACGGGGAGGACAGCTTTGGGATTCGATGAAGAGAAGTGACAGTGTACTGGGCCGAAGGCTGGATGGGAGTCAATGGGGGGAAGGTACTGTCGGCACTTGTGACTTACATCTGAACGGTCCGTGACATACAATGAAGACATAGTGTAGTCGACCATTGAAGCATTGCGGTGAAGAGTAACACGGCTGGTCGCCGATCCGCACAGTACTAGTGCCGAGGACGCACCCGATCGTCCTGGGGACATGTGTTCCTCAAAAATGCGGATCGAGGTTGCTCCTAGCCTATGTATGCCGGAATAAAACACATCTGACACGCTGTTAGTTGAGCATGTCTTTCATCTGAGACCTGGTTCATACCGAAATGCTGATCCTGGCACCTGAAATCCAGACAGATCAGAAGCCCATACCGCAGGCCGCAGAGAAGGAGGACCGGATCTCCGTCACATCGTTTAAGTGCAGCAAGGGAGCTCACTGCGCATTTTCCCGGAAGTTTGTAATGGAACTGGTCAGCAGTACGATCAAAAACTTTTCGCAGAGACGTGTCTTCCTGCACAATATACCAGTGGAGTCGCCCCTCGTCAGAGCCAACGAGTACCAAGCGTCTGCCCTGAATTTCAAAGCAACACAGGCTAGTAGGAATGTCCCTCAGTAGTGTCGATGTTCCTTCCTTCAAGATGACACCATAACCGTCCACCGAATCCAAGATCGAAGTAAGACATATCTCATAGCCCTCAGTTGCCTGACGGGCCGTCACAAACAGTCGACCATCCTCGAAGAATGCTGCTTCACGTAGTTCACATTTCATGCGGACAAACTCTGAAAGAGAAGCTTCAACTGCGGTGGGGACCACGCTGATGCTCTGTGTGGTGACCTGTAGTATGGAGTTTCCACCTACAACGGCTGCCATTAGAGTAGGGTGATCAAAGTCAAATCCGGGGTGGCTTTCTGAATTTGTGAAAGAGAGCTCTTGCGTGTCAAGCTCAAATGATACCATGGATGACTGTGTTGGTTGGGAAGCCAGTACCAGTAGTTCGTTACGATCCGGTAACTCCAACGTCCACAGCCTGTCAATCAAGGCAGCATCGGGGTACGGGACGGTCCACCCAACCTGTGCCTCCACGCCGTATCCAATCTCGAGCAGAACTCCCTGGTCTGAACCACGACTGCAGCATGCGAATAATCGATCCGGATCCTCTCGTGGCCAGGTGTCGGTAAGTTGATTAGCGCTGGATGGACCAAGAACCATGCCTCGAAGAGGACATATTGACTCCAGAAGCTGAATGCACTCGGGTGTTCCTCTCGCAGAGACATGGAAGACGCCTCCATCTGTCATACTACCTCCAACTATGAAGATGTCGCCACCTTTGCCCGGAGGGCCTGCGAGCATGCAGAATGCTGTGTCCGCTTTCAGCCCAAGTCGTCCAATTGTCCAGTTCAAGTTGATTTTCGAGCTAGAGGCCTTCTCAATTTGGAAGTATTGAAGGAGGCCGTCCTCTCGCAGCAGCACAAAGTCATCTCGTTTCTCCTTGTACTCGTTGTGGCGACTTGGTTTTGCCCACTGAACCCACTCTAGACTCCCTGCTGCTTGTTGTCCAAAGGGGCAATGGATCCGTTTAGTGTCACTGGTGTGGACATTCTCATAATACGATAGGCCTGTTTTCATAACCATGATAAATGAATAGGGTCGTGCAGAGGGAATTAGCATTGATGGGATTTCCTCCTCGGCCAGCACCCGCCCACTACTAGGTATAGGCTTTATTGTTTGAAGCGGCGATCGTGTATCCCAGCTGTACATATACTGGCGTGTTGATTTCTCTTCTGAACCACCCCAGACCAGAAGGAGAAGCACCACTCTATTGGGATCCGATTCAGGGCTAGGTAAAAAGGTAATCATCATGACATCGCCTCGGATCTGAATGAAACGTTGCTGGAAACGTCAATACATAGTCAATGATATGATGTGTGTGACGTACTTCATCTGACGGACGAAATGAGCCGTGTTCAAGAGGATTCCACTTCTCTATTTCTCTCTGGATGTGGTCAACCTTGCGTAGCTTGAATATCCCAACATAGCCTGAAGGGGACGCAACTGCAAGCGCACGAGACCTTGCCTTGTCAGTACAACGTAGTGGTGACTACTTTGAGAAAGACTTACTTTGGTTCAACTGCAACATATCGGCATTGACTGGACGGCAGCCCTGCTCCTCTGAGAAAAGGCCGCTTTGCAAAGACAAACCTTACATCGCCGCTGTTATCCTCTCGTGCACAGGCAAAGATGAGTTCATTGTCGACAGTCACAATGACTAGTATCTGTGCTGGATCACCATGGTTAATAGGCTGCCCACCAATGCTGTAGTTTTCTTGGTCTCTCTCTTGTTTCAAGATCGCGTCGAGGATGGGAATGACTTCAACGTCAGCGGAGATGACTTTCGCATCAGTGATTTGAGTTCCAATGTCGAGCTTGGCTGTTGTGTTGACTAACTGTCCAGTCTCGATGAACTCGTACAGCTGTATGAATGTTGCCCCGACGAAAACAACGTCCTCCTTCGATGGAGATCTTATTCTTGCTGGCAGAATCCATCGAATGCATGAGGTTGAGTTGAGTGTTCGTGAAAGGATGCCTAACCGTCGTCTATCATTCCATTCAAGACTGGGAGGAAAAGACATGACTGCGTCAAGATTGTTTGGTGCTTCACCTTAAGGGCAGAATTCCCGAAATCGAACCGATCCCAGGCACGAGCGAGGTTGATAGTCAGAGAAAGGGAGTCATTTGCCGGCCAACAAAGTGGGCCTGATGCAGGACAGACTGTGCGATTTGTTCACAGTATAATGGTTGGTAAGAGAAGCAGTTGTTCGCAGAGGTGATCGGACGACGAATATATATCCTTATGCTTGTCGACATTGATCAACTTATCGAGGCGTAGAGTTCGCGGTCAAGCAGAGTGATGGCGAGGGGCAAAACCTCCTGATCCGGACACTCGCCCCGATTCGGTGGTTGCTCATCCCAAACCTGGTTCACGGCGCTGTACAAGTGATAGCCAACGGGTGCAGGGATGCTGGGCAGAAGTACAGGATCCGTATGAGGGAGAAATGAAGCTACGGCATGGTATGAGGTCAAAGCAGCATGCGTCGGGGTTCACTGGGCCGTGTCTGCGCGCAGGGGCTTCTTGTTGTGGACCTTGACATGCTCACCTGGCTAGTGATGTGCGCGCGGCGGAATCCACCAACAAGGCAATTGTTCCATCATACTTCACCTCTTCACTGCATCACTTCAACGCTCCGGAAGAACCAGCAGTGTATCCTTGTGCGAAACTGACCCATCCAACGGGAGCGTAAACACCTCGTTAGCTGATGCGACACAAGCTTTAGCAGCAGCTTGACACAGCCAGGCTGACCTCTTCGTGTTACCTGTCATCTTCATCAGGCTTCATTAGAATCATCCCCAGACAGCCGTTGGCATCTGCTGTGCCACAAGCCTGTCGCTTCCTCTGAGCCTATTTCAATTTCAACCCAAAGAGCGGCGAGCTCTCCCCTTCTATCTGCAGCCTGGTCTCTCCTCAGCTTAGACGCCTGCCATGGCAGAGGTACGCTCCAAATAAGGTCCGATGCATGTTCGCTGCATTGCATTTCTATCAGCCCCACGGAGTATCGAACAGACACCTGTCAATCAACGCGTGGGTAGGGGTCTGCAGGATCAATGGATCAAGACCAAAACGAGAAGTGCCGAGCCATTGAAGATGCCTGCAAGCAGGGCGATCTCAGCGCCCTAGTCAAGCTTGCAACTTCGACCGGCGGCCTGGTGACCGATGAAGCTCGCCGGCAAGCCTGTATGCCCCCATGCTTTCCGCTTTGACTGACTGGTGGAACGTCACTGACGCCGAACCTGGAAGGGCCGATCCTATTGGGTTGCAAGACTCAATTTCGAGACGCTGCACAGGAGCAGCCGAGCCAGGCATGGAGGAAACTACCCCAGCATCCTGACGAAGACCAAGTGCAGCTCGACGTCGATCGCGCCTTTGTTTACTACCCGAAAGGTTTGAACAAGAATTTTGCCCCCTGGTGTTACTTGGCTTAATGTAACTAGATGAATCTGAACAGTCTCTCGACAGGCGGAAAACGGAACTTTCCAATCTAATTGTCGCGACACTGAGAAGCCACTCAATGCTGTCGTACTTCCAAAGTTATCACGATGTGGTACAGGTACTTCTCTTGGTGCTTGGAGAGTCAAGTGCCGCTGTTGCCGTCCCACGGATTTCTCTGATGAGACTTCGTGACTACATGCTTCCGACGATATCTCCTGCAAGGAAACACTTCGAAATTGTCTCAGCCATCGTCAAGTCTGCTGATCCCGAGCTAGCCGACCACATCGCCGAGGCCGAGAATAGCTTCGCACTTTCAGCAACTCATTCCCTATTCGCCCACGACATTCAAGACTACGGAGACATTGCTCGAATGTACGATTTCCTCCTTGCGCACGAGCCAGTCATGAGCCTCTACTTGTTCGCTGCCGTTACCATCTCGAGGCGGTCTGAATTGTTCGAAATGCCAGCTGATCAATCCGATATATTGACCTTTGTGATATCCAAGCTTCCACAAACTCTCGACATTGACGCATTAATCCAGAACACCCTGATGCTGTTTGAAAAACACCCACCACATCGTCTTCAAGGCTTCGTTTGGTGGCGTGTGTCACAATTCAGTGTCCTCAAAACATCACGTAAGACTTATCAACACCAAAGTTTGGAGCAGGCAGAAGACCTAGCCCGGAAACAAATCGAGCAGCTACGCCGAGAAGAGCTACTGCAGAAGAGGCTGAAGTTATTGGCGCGATACAGGCGACCGCTTCTCTCACTGACCGCTGCTCTGTTGGTAGGAGCGATGTCCTACTCGATGAGGCGAAGTGGGCAAGATAGATACGTTTGGTCTGTTCTGTCGGCGATAATGGACTCTCTTCCAAGACGGCCTTGAGGAGAACATACCACGCCCGGACTCGAATGGCTTTCATATCGCGGCCACCAACTACGCAGGACGGCACGGTCTACATGCGGTCAAACACACGTCGCCAACCGATATCAAACAGGACAACAAAAACCAGTTTGTGAAAGAACACTGGTTGTTCTTACCACTCTTAAACTTACATAGCCTGCGACAACACCCTGAGGGACATGCGTGGCCGAGCAATTTACCCTGCGATAGTCTCAAATCCTCCAATCGCGCTCTGTGATAGACACAGAACTTCTGGGTAACTCAGTGGTTGTGAGTCATGGTGATCGTACCCTCATTATTGATCCCTCCTGTGTACAATAGCACCTGTACTTCTCCGAAGATCGTCAGTTTGTACTATAGAACGAAGCACTGGCCCCTAACAATACTTGATCGATATAGCTTTGTAATGACAGTTGGGCTGCTTTAAGTGCATGGCAACCTGGTCGTTACCTAGGTAGGCACCTTACCTGGAGCGCGTCATTACAACCGCCACTCGTATACGTCAAACAGCAAGCGACACGTTTGCATTTCGGTCGGTCTACCTCTTCTACAGCTTATCTGTTGGCTTTCCCATCTGCTGTGCAATCCACAACAAAAGCGTGGACTTTCCCCAAGATGGCTAATAGAGGCTATGATGTTGTCGTCGATGTCGACGCGGAGGTCTGTCGTCTTCCATCCCAGCGCGTTCCCAGCTGGACAAAGCTAACAAAACCCAGGGCGACCTAGGCCACACTGACCTCCAGGACGACGACCTGGAATTCCACCCTTCGAGTACGTCACGTATCTCTGTGCTTGCCCACACGGACTGCCGTCTCTAACATGCTGCAGATTTCGAGAACAACCCGTCTAGCCGCAAGATCCAACCTGACTCAACATCTTTCCTGGCCAACAGTGCGACAAACCCAGCAACTCGCCCCAACGATCCTTCCGCAGTGCCCTCGAAGCATATGCTCTGGTCCCTATCTTTCTACGCGCAGTTCTTCGACGTCGACACATCCACGGTCCTCCAGCGTTGCCGGAGAGCGCTACTACCTTTCCTTCCTAACCAGCCACCCTTCATTGAGACCTTGGAAGGGAACCCCGATTTATATGGGCCCTTCTGGATCGCCACGACTGTGGTGGTCATCCTCTTCCTCACAGGTACTATAAGCCACAAGCTTGCGTCGGAGGGCAGGAAACACTTCGAATATGACTTCCGTCTGCTCAGTGGGGCGGCGGCATTGATCTATAGCTACACAGCGTTCGTCCCGCTGGGTTTGTGGGGTGCGCTGCGCTGGTTCGGCGCCCAGTCTCTCGACCTGGTCGAATGCTGGGCTCTGTACGGATATGGAAATCTCTTCTGGATCGCCGTCGCTCTGGTTTCGTGGTCGCCGCTCAACGGCCTTAACTATGCCTTGGTTGGGTTGGGGTATGCCGTGAGCGTCTTCTTCCTGGTCAAGAATTTGTACCCTGTGATCGCTGCGACGGATAAGAAGATCAGCCAGATACTCCTCGTTGTTGTGGTGGCTTTGCATGCGGGCCTGGCGATTGCGATCAAGATCTTGTTCTTCAGTCACAAGAGCCCTGCGACGGATGGGGACGACAAAAGATTCGCCCAGTTTCTGGTCTAAGCGTCACATGGGCTCTGGAGCGAGATGGCAGGAGACATGCCACAAGGGAATATTCAAATGGCTTAGGTAAGGATTTCAACTGCAGGAACGAATAGATATTGTGATGAGCATAGGAATGCGGCTGGTGCATCTCAGGATACCAGATTATGGTTCGGGCTAGGGCGATTCATAATGTGGAACGACGTACATGGTATTCGAGTGCGTAGCTGTACAACAGAGGCCAGGTCACTTCGGGCATAGGCTTGGTGGAATGAGCTCATGTTAATTCTTGAAAACAAAAAGTGCGCATGTAGAGAGTGCAGTGCTGGTCCTTTTTAGATCTTATCGATTCAACCTAGCTTGTGCAGCCGACAGACCGTTGTGTCATCTTGAGCAAAGCCGTGTCTACCACGAATCTCTCTCTTCTCGTAACAACATCAATACCTCCTGGTTCTAAGCGAACAACACCGCCGCCGCCGCCGCCAGGGAGCCAAATCTGCTCTGCACCGCTCCGGTATGCGTCGCACACCCACCACAAGAACAGGGCGATACGTTTATTTGATCTTCTTCTTTGGTCGGAGCTGGTTGGTGTGTCCGCACTTCTTCTTGCGGCAGTTGGTGGCTCGTGGGGGGAGACGGGCGTAGCACTTTCGGCAGATCATCTTCTCGCAGTTGTACTTGGAAGCAAGAGCCTTCAGGGATGGTTCGATGATACCGCCACGCAGACGGAGGACGAGATGGAGAGTCGATTCCTGCAGAGAGTTTTCGTGTCAGACCCAGGCGTCCCGGACACGCGTGATACCCGACGCATCGTTCTGTGATCTCACCTTCTGAATGTTGTAGTCGCTGAGTGTTCGGCCGTCCTCGAGTTGCTTTCCGGCGAAGATCAATCGTTGCTGGTCAGGTGGGATGCCTTCCTTGTCCTGGATCTTGGACTTGACATTGTCGATGGTGTCGGAAGACTCCACCTCGAGGGTGATAGTCTTGCCCGTGAGGGTCTTGACGAAGCTGTTCGGAGAACCACAGGTCAGTCTACGTTCTGTTCCGCTCTCAATGATAGCTTCGATGGCTTGGTGGCGTGTTGCGACATCGATCGACGACGAGTATCGTTGTACAGAGGCCGGGAGATCGAGGGGAACTCACATCTGCACTGTATCAAAGTCAGCATTACGATCGGTACTTCAGCATGTACCGGAGTCTACTCACTCTTTACAGCCTCTTCGGGTCACTGGGGGAAAGTTGGTTGTCGTAGTATGGACGTCGCAGCTGGATCGAAGTGGACTTGAAATGTTCAGTGTGCAGAATTGAGCGCCAAGACAGTATCACGTGGAAGGCGGCGAATCGTAAGTCATTACATAAGTCAGGCTGCATCTCGAGACTTCCCGCCACCTACTAAAGAGTACATAAAAAAGTTCCGTGAAACCTGCTTGCACCTTACGGCTTCACGATAGGACGACTATTTCGTATCTAGAGCTCTTCTACCACGAACGGTACCCGAACATGTCGTCTCTCCAATATCAGCATACTCACACGACGCTCGACTCCTTGATGCGCGTATTTAACGGAGAAACACGACGTGCCCGCGCTCTGACTAATAGCTGCCTCGAGTGCTGACTCTATCGGCCGAGATTGAATTATGCTTCATCTCCTCATACTGTACTAGCCCTTTTGTGCTGTCACTGATCGTCGCTATACTGCCGCTGTGTAGGAGGACTCCGCAGACATCTTTCGCAAGGCTGCCATCCTCGTTCCGAAGACGGGGACATAAATAGGTCGGTCACTTTCTGTCCTTTTGTTTCCACAGTCGACGTGGGTGTTGCACCTAGATTTCCTTCTCATTCACTGTATGAGAACTTCGTCTGCTACTCTCCGTTCCTACCTTTGCATCTGTCCCCGCAACTTCCTGCTTCGCTGCTGTCCAACTCCGAGCCTTGTTCCGCAACCATGGCCGCGCCAACACCTTCAGGCAAACCGCGACCTACCATTGTCCTCGGATGTGCGAGCTTCGGCTCGGAAATCGATCCGCTCACCAGGCACCATACAACTCAACAAGCATCTGAACTCTTCGCGGCATTGACTCGCCACAGACACAACATCATCGACACATCTAGACGGTACCCGGCACTTGCCGGCGGTACGAGCGAAGAGCTCATCGGCTCGACACTGCGTTCCGCGGCGTTTCCTGACATCGAAATCGACACCAAAGTACTCTCGGCGCCGGGCTGCCACAAGCCAGAGAACATTGCCAAATCCATCTCCGACTCACTCCGTGCTCTGCGTGTCGACTCGGTACGGACCATCTACTTGCACTACCCGGATCGCTCTGTCCCCTTGATCGAGCCCATTCGAGCCTTGTCCCACGCCGTGGACATCGGACAGGCCAAGCAGTGGGGCTTGTCCAACTACACGATAGATGACGTGCACGAAGTCTTGTCTCTCTGCAAGAAGCATGGTTTGGTCAAACCCGCGATCTTCCAGGGCGAGTACAACGCGATCAACCGCGACAGCGAGGAGCTTATTACCTTGTTGCATGAGAACGGAATCGCTTTCTACGCCTACAGTCCCGCGGCGGGTGGGACGTTGTCGCCAACGGGCTCTAGGATAGCAGCACAGGGTCTCGGGGGCGATCGCACCAGGCAACTCTATGGCACCGAGCCGGTTCAGAAGGCAATACAACAGGTGAGAGATGTGGCGGAGAAGAACGGACTAAATGGCCACGAGACCGCTATAAGGTGGGTTGTGTGGGATAGCATGCTGGATGAAAAGTACGGAGATGGGGTGATTATCGGAGCGAGTAGCGTGAGCCAGCTGGAGGAGACACTGCGTGCGATCGACGAGGGTCCGCTGCCCGGTGAAGTAAATCAAGCGATCGAGGGTATTTGGGCATCCATGTTGAAGGACAAGGCGAGAAAGTGAGACAGGTCAACCATCACAGAGAGCCGATCGCGAGGTGGAAGTTTAACACATCCTGTACGAGATTGTTGACATTTTATATCGTAAAGGCACTGTACCTGTCCACCGCATCACTGCCGGTATACGGCTGGGGCCATCAGCAGGGCAATTCTCGCTGGCATAAATCCTCTCGATACTAAGGTATGTATGTGTGCAGATGCCAATTACTGGATCCCATCGGGACAAGGAACAGAGGGTACAAACAAATGGTTTTGTCTACCTTACCAGCCCTCTGGTAATCCCATAGGGTGGGCAGTTAACGTAGTCCATACATGGGTAAAATGCCAGGGGTGGCTGAAAATCAAAAGGTTCGCATTAGAGATCGATTATCATCTATGTACCAATACATATCTACCCTGCTACAAGCATTGCCTTCCGGGCACAACAGCTGCAGTCGTTTAGTCCACAGGATCTTCCTCAAGCAACAGCTTGAAGCTGAAAGGCTCGAAAGGTATACCCTCGCCAACGAAATGCTTACTCATAGCTTCGACCCAATGCAGACGTAAACTGTGCAACATGGCAGAAGTACCTTCCATGATACACAGAACAGCAATGGTCAAGACAAACCACATGTAGAACGTAATGATAATCATCGGGATTTGCATAGCACCAGTTGTAGTAAAGGCGCCTCCGAGGGTCATGCTCCACAGCACAACAGACAACTGCTGATGAGCAAGAGAAAGGGCCCAGAGACGCAGGTATGAAGCGGTGTGGGAAACACAGTTCAGACAGAATTCGATGGTATCTAGAAGTGAAAGAAAAAGGTTAGCAACAACGACTTACTTGTGGCCGAACTGGCGTGTAACTTACGAATAGTTTGGTGAATCATAACTTCCGAAAACTCAAATTCTTCGTGTTCATCGTCGTCGATATTCTCGGTGATCATGGCGCCTTCATCGTTGGTGTCTTCACTTGCGCGGCCGTTTGCGCGAAGACTAGTGTGCTCATCGGCGTCGTCGAGATCAGTGGCGTGGGTGACGCGACGAGTGTCACCAATACCACGATAGCCCTTGGCCTGGGTCTTGTTGTGTTGGTATCGGAGGTACAACGGCTTCAGGAGCAGGAGGATGGGCACATTGATGACTGCAATGAGCAGCAGAAACACCTGGACTCCGGCCTGACCACTGTAGAGCTCTTCGCCTTTTTCGACATTGCCGGGAGACAAAAACATCTGAATCAACATGTTGAGCAACGAAGGCGGGTTTCGGCCCTCTGCCTTCCAATCGACAGACCATTTGTAGACAATGCAGAAGCTCAAGTACCCAAAGATACCTTGGAAGAAGATCATTCCAGGGACGAAATTGCCCCAGATATCAACCGGTGACTTGAAGTGCTTAGCATTGATGTAGGAAAAGGACAACGCATAAGTCATATGACACCAGCCCATCAGGATAGCGAGCTTCATTTTTAAGCTGTTGCTGAAGATAAGGTCGTTCTCGGATCCGTGCCATGCCCAGTCCAGACCGAACGGATATCTATAACTTCCTTTGAGATGGGCCGTGACTTCGGGCCGTCCTTCTTCAGGGTACTCCCAAGCGGATGGGAATGGCGTGAAACCCTTGGAGAAGACATCGTTGTAGATAAGACCGGTGAACATGGAGAAAATACCCATCATGAGCATGATGTATCGGCCATAGAAGGCCATCGAAAAGAGCTCATCTTGTTTGGACCTCAGCAGCGGTTTCTCCCAGTAGATCATGGCAGCGGCAGCCATAGTCATCAGACATCCATGACCAAAGTCACCAAACATGACTGCAAACAAGAACGGGAAGGTCACAATAGTGTACAGGCCAGGGTTGACTTCTTGATATTTCGCAGTACCGTATGCGTTGATAATGGTCTGAAACCCTTCCGTGAACTTGTTCGTCTTGTTGTAGGTTGGAGGTGTCTTGTTGGTCTTGATCTGGTTGACAATCGTGGGAACAGATAACCCGGCACGATCATTGACATCTTGCAAAGTCGCTCTGATCTGGGGGAGTGAGTTCGTGGGACACCAAGCTTCGGCGATCAAGGTCTTTCTGGCATGATCATACGAGCACATATTCAAAGCATTGTAGACGGCCTTCTCTTTCTTAATCACAATCAACCACGCAGCAAGCGATCGGGAAATCGCAGTTAGCTCCGCATCGAGTGTTTTCTTGGTATTGCGAAGGACACTGGCGAGATCGCTGAGGCGAGTGTTGACTTCGTGGATCTGGTCGCGTCGAATGTCGGCGTCCTCATCGACGTTGTAGAGGTCTGCCCCAAGGGACTCGGAAATCTTCCTGATCTTTGCAATGATCTCTTTGCCATGGGCAAAGATAACAAATACGTTCTTACGGATCTCCTCATTCGTCTCCGGGTCGATGATCGGTTCGGGGATCTCTGACTGGTTCATGTACAAGTTTCCACGAAGCGTACGCCACAAGATGCGTTCGAAAGCTGGCAGCCTTTCACGGCGAATGACACCAGCCACGAAGCCGATGTTCATGACTGCGAAGCTCTGCTGTTGGCCAACGTCGCCATTGGCTCTGCCCTCTTCAGCCTCCTGGTTACGGAGGAGAGGAGCATCGTCGTCGTCGTCCACGCTCTGCCTGATGTCATCACTCTGTCCATGGGCACGGTCAAAGAAACCGCCCGCCTCTTTCAGGACCCATCGCCACTCCGTCAACTCGACTTCTCGTTTCTTCAGCGTTTCATAGCTCTCGTTCAAGCTGCTGACGCGATGTTCCAAAGCTTCAGATCGGTCGGCGAGCTCATCGATCTCACTCGCCTGAGATGCGGCGAGCATGTCCTGGTCGAAGTCCCAGTGGCTGCGCATCTGAATGCCTGCTTTGTCCATCTGGGAGTGGAAGTAGCGCAGCTGCCGTTCAACATTATCGAGGCGTCGGATCTCTTTGGTGAAGGTCCGTTGAAAAGCCGTGGTGTCAGAGTTGAGGTCTCGAAATTGCACAACGCCAATTTCACCCAGAGCAGAAACGACTTCGCGGCCAATTTCGTTGGAGATGTAGAGCTGGGTCAGGGACATGTCCGCCGAGCGGAAGAGCGTGTCCTTATGGGCCATGCTGGGCGGTTGTATGAAGGAGTGAAAGGCCGCCCAGGCCGATGCAAGACAAGAAGGAGAGGTTCGAAAGGCTAGCAAGGAGCTTCGTGTTTGCGTGGCCGGTACAAGATAGACGGAGGCCTGTTATCGCTGTCCTCAAAAGACCAGCTCTCGATGATGCCGCAGCGACTTGGCACCGCTTAGTCATCCGACCTCACTCAAACTCGACCGTACCTCAAGCAAAGAACGTGCTCGGTGTCGTTTACCATATACCTCGTTTCTGCCACGCTGGGTCATTCATTCTCTTTCGGTGGCTCATCGTACCTGATTGTGTTTAATCCGTTGTATGGTGGTGACCGAATGCTTGCACCGCCGCGACACAATGCCATGGTCCTGATGTCAGGCCTGGCAAGGCGTCGCGGCGTGAATATCAGGGCTCTGTGTGGTATAGCCGGACTAACCAGCACTCCTTCACGTCCGGCATGGCAGAAGCTTTCTACTCGGGGCGTTTCAAATGCACTTGCAGCACCTCAGCTCGGAGGACATGGTCTGAGACACAATGGGACGTGCCTCGTTTCGGCCTCGGTGAAGGGTTACTCGAAGCTTTCCAGGTGCGTGTGTACATTATCTTCCAAGCCATCTGATCTTGAACACTGACGGCGTAACCCTTTAGCCCACGAGCCACGAGAGTCTCAGGAATATGGCAGCGTAGGCTGCAACGACTACAATGCCGGACTGTGTCCAGTGAATCACCAAAGGACGAGGGGAAAAAGCCCAGGTAAGAAGAATACGGCAAAATCGCTTCATGTCAAAGTTCTTCGCTCGAGTGAAGATGAAGACACCCATGGCATCCCTCATATATCATTAGCACAGTCAAATCAAACTCACAGTCCCCGCATACTCCTCTTGCTTGACGAGAAGCCTTCAAAAATTGCTAACGAGAGATTTCCCTCGCAATCTTCCAGCACCGAGACAACCTCTTCTCCACCGGCAACGATGGTACCACCCAAACTCACCAAGATGCTCCCTCGAATAACCAAACATGAGAACATCTACACGATCCCCAACATTCTCACGTTCACGCGCCTCGTCGCCGCGCCCGCGGTGGGCTACTTCATCCTGACCGCGCAGCCTCTCGCAGCAGTGTCGCTGTTCTTCTACGCCGGCGTCACCGACCTGGTCGACGGCTACCTCGCACGGCGGTTCAACAGCACCACCGTCGTCGGCACCGTGATCGACCCGATGGCCGACAAGGCGCTGATGACCATCGCCGTCGTGTGCCTGGCCCTCAACCACACGCTCCCCGTCTGGTTGGCCGTCATCATCCTCGGTCGCGACGTCGGCCTCGCCATCTCGGCCATCTACTTCCGCTGGATCTCCCTGCCCCCGCCCAAGACGATGGCGCGGTACTGGGACTTCAGCCTGCCCAGCGCCGAGGTCCACCCGACCGAGATCAGCAAGATCAACACCTTCCTCCAGCTTCTGCTGATTGGCAACGCCATGATCCTGCCCGTGCTCCCGGAATCCCTGGTCGCCGCCTACAACTTGACGGGAATCTTCGAGGGGTGGATGTACCTCGTCGCCGGCACGACGGTGTGGAGTGGTCTAAGTTACGTTGGGAACAAGTCCGCCGTGAAGATTCTGTCGAGTGGTGAGAGTGACGAGAAAATTGCACAGGCCAACAAGGACACAACTAGGTCTTCCTAAGTCTACAAGCCCAACAAACGATAAAATGGAGGTCACCATCGGAGTGAGGCTCTTCCTCTTATCTTTTCTTCTGATTTGCGCGTGTACACCACCAAAAGGCGGTTTGTTTTACAAGGAAAACTGCGTCCGATATAAGACAGATTGTGTAGATTACAAAGACAATTGTTCAGATGGAGGCATTTTGAACCCGGCTCTGTAAATCACACTCACCCTTGCGAAACACTTTAGAAGAACAGTAACTGTCTCCGACTGTCAGGAGGAATGACGAATGAATGATCACTCAAACAATCAGTCAGTCACTGCGTTGTCCTATGCGGAAGCAAAGAAAAAGCCAAAAAAATTGAGATCCGTCTGTATTTGCCGGCTGAGCCATAAAAGCCAAAACCAACCTAAAACATACAGACATGAACATATTTTGAAACAATGATCAATGGCTATATCAGTCAAAGTGATATCTCGTTTTAGTAGAGTATAGAAACGGCTTTTGAGGGATTTTTCCCCTGTCACAATCTCGACACCTTCGTATGTTGCTACAGTGACACCCATGTACCATCCAAGAAAACCTTCTAGCCATGCTCAGACATCCTACTTACGCTCGACCAGCCTGGGCTCGCTCGATCTCCTTGAGGATGAGATCACGAGCTGATATCACGCCATCTTCCTTGCCAACAATGGTGATGGCTTCTCCTTCGTCACCATTGCCTGCGTTATGCTTGGGCACCTGAATGTCACAGCCGGACTGGTTTCGGATCGAGTTGATGGTAGAGCCACCGCGCCCGATGATGTGACGATGCAGACGTGGATCGGGTAAGATCAGATAGCCAGTGAACTGAGGCTCTTTGGCTTTGTCAAGTGATGACTGGATCTTTTTCTTTGCCTTTTCCACGGCGTCCTGCCCATCAGGTTTCTGGCTGACAAGAACCCATGGGATCTCTCCGTCGTCTCCGTCCAGACCAGTCTGGTTAGAAACAAGATCAAAGATAGGAGAGGCCTCGCCAGGCTGATCAGTGATTAGAGGCATGTCACCATTGGTTGTCCGCGCGCGAGACCCACGGCTAGGCTTTGGCGGCGGCTTGTGGCCATTATGCTCGACCCGAACCCCATCCCTGCTTAGCTCGCGGAATAAGTCCCCATTCTTCGAGACAATGTGATGCAGAGTTCGAGGAACCATGATCGTCTCCGCTGGGGCTTTCGCAGTCTTCTTTTGAATGTACTCCTTCGCGTCTGCCACGTTCTCCGATCGCCCAGTGATTTTCACGCCAGTTTGTCCAGTGCCTTGCCGGGGCACGTTGAGGGTCACCTTGAACTGTTCTTCGATCTGCTTGCGAATGCTACCATTAGGTCCAATCAAATCCCGGTGTTGGGTGACTGGCACATCTAATGTTTCTGTAACCTGGTTGTCCCTTTCATTCACAAACTCTTCGATATTAGCTACGATCTTGTCAACGACATCGGCAGTACCAGTGACGGTGAGTTCGCTTGAATCATCACCTTTACGCGGGAAACGGACGTGCTCCGAGCTGCGTTGCTTGCTGCCCGACTTGGCGACAAGGTCTTGGATATTGGAACCTGCAAAACGTCAATTTCTGCCAGTACGACAATTGTCATAACAAACTTACCTCCAGCACCAATCAAGGCGCTATGGTGCTTTCTATCCACGTTTATGGTACGTGTCACAATGTCATCAAAGGCCTTGGCTCGCTTTTGTAGCTCCTGCCTAGCTTTCTCAACTTGTTGTTTGGAACCTTTGATCTGGATGGTTACACGATCAGAGCTGGAGCTGGAGCTGGCAGCTTTGGGAACGTCAATGTGAGCACCAGTCTCAGCTCGAAGCCTTTCCATTTCCATGCCTCCTCTGCCAATAAGAGATGCAACCTGAGCTTGCGCGACAGAGACTGATGCAGTGTGCGAATTGTCGACCATGTACTGGTGGAGACTTAGCAGTTCATCTCGCACCTTCTCAGCCTTTGCACGAGGACCGCGAATCTTGATCTCATCGAGAGACTGGCTTTTGGTACCCCCGACTTGACTGGAATCGTCGGCCACCGAGGCGTCGTCGCTGATTCTTGACTGCTTGGGAAAGTCAATCCTCACAGCGTTATCAACTTTGCTCTGAATTCTCTGCAAGTTTTCGCCATTCCTGCCGACAAGCAAACCATGGTACTTTGGATCAATTTTGATGGTGAAGTTGACCTCGTCTTCCCATTGCTTGGCCAGGCGGAGAATTTCAGCCTTGCATGCCTCGGCTTTTTTCTGTGGGCCTTGGATGGTGACCTTTCCGTTCTCCCGGGTATCGATTTCGACGTCATGCTTCTCACGCAACGCCTTGATATTCGCGCCCTGTTTTCCAATCAAATTCTTGTTGAACTGGGCAGGGAAAGGGAACGATGTCGTGTAGCCACGTTCCTTCTCGTCCTCTTCGGCTTCTCTCAGGAACTCCTCAATCTTCTGGCGCAGCTCCGAGATGTCTGCGTCGCTCGGACCTCTCAGGAAAACACGTTCAGGTGAGCCTCGAGACGCAGTTGCCTGTTGCCTTTGACCAGCTCTGGCTCGGCCAAAGTCAACCTGAACGGGGAAGGCATTTGGAGCGGATGGTTTTGGTTCGTTATTGACGAATCTTCTGACCTTGTCCTGAAACTTCTTGGGCACATGAATATCTTGCGTGGATATTCCTCCGCTAGGGAGACTGCTGAGCAACATTGCTTGTGCTTCTTGAAGAGCTTTTTCAAAGGTCGAGATATCGGCTTTTGATGGCTTACTGCGGGGAATCGAGAAAGGCCCATCTTGCGCTGGACCTTCGTATACGAGCACGACTGGGTCAGACCCATCCTCGGGAACAATTAGATGGACTCCATGATTCTCTCTCAGATCATCTGAATGCAACTGCCTGAGGTGAGGATGGAAGAATGGGTCCACTTCAACCAACTGTATCCGTGGAGTTGGATAAGCTTGAGTGATTTTGGAGAGTTCATTTCGAGCAGAAAGTGCTTTCTGGGGATCATTACTAATGACCGTCCAGCTGGGAGAGGCGTTAGAGCTGCGAGGAAAGACAATCTCAGCCCCGTGGGACTTCTGGAACTCCCTCTCGATAGCCTTCTCTTGCAGATACTGAGCTAGGGCTCTGGAGTGACGTTCTGGGCCATGAGGTGCATCATTAAAATGTTTGTGCATATCGACAGCACGATTGTGCTTTCTGGACATGAGCTCTTCAGCTAGATTGCGGCCCGCATCCAGCTTGTCCTTAGGCCCAATGATGTGGATGTCTTCGGTTTCATGTTCAGGTGGAGGGAGGATAACTGCACAGCCCGTCTCTTCTAAGAACTTGAGAGGGTCCATACCACGGTCTCCAACAATGTAAGGGTGAAGAATCTGCTCGGCGGCAAGTTCCTCAAGCAGAAGCTCCTTCTGGAGCTCCTCAGCCAGTTGTTCAATAAGGGCACGTGCCTCTAGCACAGCAGCTTGTTCACCAGAGACAATGATGGGGCTGTCTCCATGAGGTACGAAAGCAGGAGCTTGACCCGACACAGCAGGGCGAGACGGTGGCTGTTGTTTCCATGTAGTATACTGAGGGACGTTTATTTGGAGGCCACGGTCTTGCTCCATTTGCCGTAAACGAGCAGCATGCTGACCAGCAATGAAAGGGTAGAACTCTGGTGGAACCCCGCGAATAGGCAAGTCCACTTTTGGCTGGAGAGCTTTGACCTGCTTCATGATGTGTTCGTAGACCTGGCGGACTTGCGCAGCATTGCCCCGAATCTCCACAACATCCGTCTTGATATCTTCGGGGTTTGTGGTCGGTCTTGTGTCTCGGTCAATGTGAATCCGGACGCTGAACTGCTGCTCTAGTTTCCTGATGTTGGCTCCTGCTTTGCCGATGATCTGAGCCGAAACGGATGAGGGAATCTCAAGCTTGACTTGCTTCTCCAATGTCAATTCCTTGGAGACATGCATCAGAGCCTCAGTGACTGTGCGTTGATTCGGACCCTCGGCTGTGAACTCGGTTCTTGTGGCGAAATTGGTCTGCCTGGTAGTGACCATAACATTGTATTTTCTATTGACATCATCAAGCACTTTCTTCACGGATTTCGTCTTGTTCAGGTCTGCATTGTCTATCTCAAACGCATCTCGGTACCGTCCCGGCATCAGCACTCCACCTCGGCCGGCGGTGGCAGCATTCGACGGGGTTATGACGCCCGGGGTTCGCGTGGGGGTAGGACCGCCTGAAGAAGGAGGTCGAGAGAGAAGTGCAGGAGAGCCATTGACAGTAGGGGCCTTCGTGGAAGCATTAGCGACCCAAATTCGGGGTGGAGGAGCGGTCGTCTTGGAAGCAGAACCCAGGGCGGGAAACGCCTCCTCAGACTGAGTATCGATGACGGTGGGTTTCAGCGGAGTCTCTTCAGCAGCCTTCTGCTTCCCCTTGTCTACACCATTTGTAGTTGGAACATCAGCTTGAGCTTTTGTTTCAACATGCACATGTGGTGGAGGCGGATGTTGAACGTCGTCCTCGTCAGGGACATCTTCGACAGTCACATGGTGAGTTTCTGCAGCCTCGTGTTTTTCTTGCATCAGCTGAGCTGGCGTCTTAGTGGTGCTGGGGCCAGCTTCGACTGGAGCATCGACAGTGACCGAGGCCATGATCGTGGTGGCTTCGCAGGGGAAGCCTCGAGAAACCGGTGGAGTATGAACCGAGAGCAGGGCCGATGACCGTGGGTGGAGAGGAAGTTTCAGTGAGTGGGAAACATGCAGTTTCTACAAGATAGGTGACAGAGCGGACCGAGGTTCAGGAATACAGATATAGCTGTGGCCAGAGTGTCACAGCGTGAAGGAAGTAGCAATAAATGAAGGGGAATGAGAGGTGGTAAGTTGAAGGGAGATCCAACAGCGTCCGGGAGCAATTCGCCAGGTAATGCAATTGTCTTTATTTGTGGAGAGACTTTTGGTGAATAGCTGAAACTTGGGGACGAGAAACGGCCACGGGCGAGATCACGTGAGCACCTTGTAGGCCTTAGCCATACCTATTGTACTGGCTACCGGTACGAGTAGTTAGGGCTAGTGAGGCTAGCCGGATACGCTCACTAACTTGGGCCCACGAGGCTCATGTACAGCTGGCGAATCTTCTAACAACTTCTAGAACTCATTCCGATATCGTGATGTGCAACTTGCATCCTACAGTTATCCTTCCAATTGGTACGAGTACACATCATCGTTCGGTATTGCTTCACTGGCTGTCAGTCGTCATTTTTCCGTCGTGCCCCGATGATCCCTCATGGTCATGGCTTAGTCCTCGTGGCAATGTCCAAGTGGCAGTTCTGTCACTCCGATGATCTCGCTGACTTCAGGAATCCCACTCTGACACCGTTCGCCGGCGTTAAAACGATAGCCGTGTGCTGGGCCCGGTCATTGCCATAGTCCACTAATTGCTCAAACTCCTGCAAAATCCTGACTATGGTGTATCCCATCTCGACCATTGCGAATTGTTGTCCAATACAGATTCTGGGCCCACCATTGAATGGGATGAAATTCCAGGCCTTGGGCGTCCACGTGGCCCATCTGTCTGGCACCCACTCGAGAGGATCGTAAGGGAATTCTGGAGACAATGGCGGATACAGATCCCTCCGGCGCTGCATCTGAAGCGTACTGTAGCCGACTGGGGTACCCTTGAGACAGCCTACAGGCCCTTGGCCATTGGGACCTCCACCCCTTGGCAATGAAGTGTCGACTAGCGAGGTCCGGACATTGAATGGGACGACTGGGTACAATCGCAGCGTTTCGTTAATTGTGTAGTTGAGGTACTTCATATCCTTAATATTCTGGTATGATGGCGGCTGCCCCCCTTCACCCAAGAATTCCCTGATCTCTGCTCGCAGCTTGTTGACCACGCGTGGATTCTTCGACAGCTCTAAGAACAGCCAGGACAAAGTACTGGCAGTTGTATCTCGTCCCGCAAGAAGGAGAGCAAATAGTTGATCACGCATGACCTTGGGATCTCTTGTGAAGCGTGCCAGAGCTTGAATGAAATTATCCGTCTTTGACAGTTTTGACTCCAACTCATCGGGAGACATGGCTAATGCCTCTCTAGTGAAAGGCTCGATGAAGTCTTCCACAAGCTTGATACCATCGTAGAAGGATTTCTTCGAGTGGAAGTATCTGAAGGGCCTGTTCTCAAGTTAAGATGGGCGCCGTGTCTTAGTAAGTGACTTACCCAAGCCTGCCCTCTATGGCTTGCACCCTTTGTACTTCATCAAAAGCAGCTGCAAAGGCTGACTGTTCTTCATCCAGACTACCCACGCTGTGTCCAAACAAGAAATGTGTCGACGCATCGAGACTGAAGCGGAAGAAGAGTTTGTGCAACTCAACCATCTTGCCGTCCCCAGGCCCAATCAGTGATATTAGCTTGCGGACATGATTTTCGATAAGGTCCAAGTCTGCCACTTTTTCGCGGATGAACATTGGCCTCAGCAATTGTCGCGAGTTGTGCCAGAGTTGTCCATCCGTAGTGAAGATACTGTCTCCTAGGAAATCCTTCCACTCGGCATGGAATTGTTCTCCTGAACTAAGTTAGGTCTGAAGAAAGCACGGTAAAAGAACAGAACTCTACCATCATACTAACCTTTCCCAAAGTCCTGGAATTGTGTGGTGAGAAGCGCCTTTATATTCTCAGGGTCCGCCGTAAAGATCACCCTGGCGTTTTCCAGTATATGAAGCTCACTCGTATCTGTAGATGGTCAAACGAGTTCCGGACAAACTGAGAACGGAAAAGAATGTCAAGTAGGCGAAAGGGATCTCAGCTAAGGGAATGCCTACATGTTCCTGTCCCACTGCTGTCAGTGCCAGTATGCTCGTAGATCCAGTCAAAAAACTCCACAGATCGGTTTCTGCGGCCGGCGCGCGTAGAATAGAAGGGAAAATCAAGGCCTATCTTGTTCAGTCTCCCTAATCAGCTTTAAACGAGGAGTACTGACCGTAGAAGACTCGTGTCTTGATCCTGGGAGATTCCCCTCCTAGCTTCTGGATTCCCTTCCACGTTATGTATCTCCTGATCTGTACGGATGCGATGTAAATAGCGAGGAGGACTGCGGCAACATATTTCCAGGACAAATATTGCAGCGCCATGTTCAGAGGTTATTTCCGGTCGCAAGGGGACCAGTGTCGTGTAACATGATAGTAAAAGGCTCGAGAATCTTTATGGGCTGACGCGAGGCGGCATCCTTAAGTCTCACATCCTTGGAGTTGACTGTTGCCTTAGTCAGTCGCAACTACAGACCTTGGGTAGGCCTAACCACGAGTACACGAAACGCCGGTGAATCCGGGCTCTCCCCTTGGTTCACCAGGGCCAGTAGCAGAAGTTGATTGTCTTCGTATCTCGTATGGTGTTCCATTTCTTGCGGAGAAGGAAGCACATGGCTGTGACGGGTGGAGTCTACGCAGCAGACTAATCCCCATCTTCGTCGCAAGGAGGGTACGAATGCAGCCCGGAGTATGCAACGTGAAGCTCGAGTCATGCTTACACTGAAAAGTCGACACCCTCTCAAGCGATTTGCGTCTTGTCATCGCGATATCAGTTGCCAACGATGGATCACTATAAATTACAGCGTCCTCGGTTCATCAGACACCAAGTCATTGCAACTGGCGACATATTGACCCCTAAATCGATGACTGCCCGTTCTCGCCATTGCCCGAGCCTCCTAGTGGCATCTTCTATCATTCCGTCTTGCCTTGTTCCGCTCCATAATACTTCTGCAGCAGAGGCTACTCTTGGCCATAATTTGCTGTCTAGGTCAATCGAGTCAGTCTGTTCACTCCACATGAGGACTTCTCCACCCTCAACTCCCTCAAGCAGGTCGGTGCTTATGTTAGCGAGAGGATCATATGTGTATATCTGGCGCCAATTGTGGTAAGGGGCGCAATAGTCGACATAGGGGCTTGTGAGTCTGCTTGGCCGCCCACCAGTCGTGTTGACCGGTACACCAGGTGGTGACCTGCCTGTCGGATAAGGATCAAGAAATCCACCATATCCACCTACGACGTCGGATTAGACAACATCACAACTTCCAGAATTTGAAGCGCTTACAATCGAGATACCAATGTTTAAAGTCACCGAAGACTACACGATGTCCTTTCTTCAGTACTTCTTCAATGCGGTTGCTGTTCCTCCAAACTTGCACTAATGTTCCTTTCGACGTATCTTTGGCTGAGGGAAAAGTCAGATTCCAGTCCAGTACCAGTTCCTCCCAAACAATTGGTTGCAACCTATGCTTAGCACACAGCGCTATTGCATGGTTAACAAATTGTTGCAGGAGGGGCTGCAGAACGGCCGGGTCATCGCTGCGAACTGTGTCGTCCAAGAGGTATGCTGGAAGATTAACTTCATCACCTCCAATATGATAGAAGGAAGTGTACGGCGAAGTTCGGGTTAGGAGATCTGTCAGCACGTCCTGTAAGAAGTCGTAGACCGCTGTCGAATTCAGTTTCAGCTGTCCACTGAGGGGCTCCGCAGCAAACGTAGACCAGTCGAGTTCGTCGAATGCCGCTATGAGATTTGGAAAGGCGTGTGCAACTGATGCAGTGTGCCCGGGCATGTCAATCTCGATAAAGACAGAGATGCCCTTGGATACACCGTACAGCTGAATCCCTTTCAGATCTTCCGCCGTCCATACCAGATCAGGATGGTAGGCTCCCTTGCGTGCGAGATCGGGGAGAGAAGGTATCTCAAGGGGCCAGCTCTGTGAATCTGTTGCGTGCACGTGCAGGCGACTCATTTTCGTCGTAGCCATGGCCTCTATGGTCCGTATCAGATCCTGCGGCTTGAATGGATTCCGGGCTATGTCAATGCTCAGCCCACGATGTCGCCACTTTGGGCGATCCGAGATGTGTACTGGAATATACGGTATGTAGACGCCAGATATACTCGAGTGTGCGTAGAAGAGTTGTTTGAATGTCTGAAGGCCGCGTAGACTGCCAAGAGTGGAATTAGATCTCAATATGGCTGTTTCGTTGGCTACGGCCAGCTCATAAGACTCATCGCCGTCGAAGAATGTATCCGGATCAAACGTGCTGTTTCTGGGACAAAGTGATAGCTGTATCTGCAGAGCCAAAAGTTCATGACGCGGGGAATCAGGATGTGGCTCGAAGGCCTCATTGCGTTTATGCATTTTCCAGGGTACGAACCTCGAGTTTTGTATCGAGTTGATTGTCTCGTATGCCGCCTCATGCAGTATATAATTCTCAGAGAAATCTTTGCCATCTACCTGCCAGTTTTCTTGTTCTGGGAGCGATTGAAAATGGCTCCATACAGCTTCTGCAGGATAGAGCAAATTGTACATAAGGCTCGTGAAATGGTTCTTTGGCCGCTGGCGTCCACGAGTTTGGAGGATGGACGACCTATCCTCGCAACGAAGCGTCACCTCCGGAGCATCTCCAAGCCAAGATACTTGACTTCCCGTTGACCACTCCGCAGGTTCTGGCCATATCGCATCTATCGGCCGCAGAACAACGAAGAAAACCCAGAGGTGGAAGTGCATTGTGCCCCGATATCGCAGAGATCCAGGTGCCAGAAAGAACAACAGTCAATGGCACCCGCTCCGCCTTCACTTACATCGAACTTCGGCAATGGGGACAATTACGATCTGCTGCAGGAATCGCTTGGTACGCCCTATTCCATCAAGGTTAGATGCGATGTGTGCTGATACGCTAGGAAAAGAACTGCCACCCATGCGAGGTGGAATGTCACTTTATCTGAGTGAGTTGAGGCGCCCTGGGAAAACGAAACCAATCGACCGCAATTGCTGAGAGCCAATCACGATCGAGCAGGACATCAGCCACAGACGGCTGATGAAAACAATGGAAGGCGCCCGCAGAATGGGAATGATTCCTGACTAATCAGTCTTGGCGGCAAATATCGCCGCTTTTGCACAGTTGCGCCTACAGCGGTTGATGCAGATACTGCGTCTCATCTCGCGAATGTTCACTTACTATTCCAAACAGTTTTGCACTTTCAAACAACCGGACTCGAATACACTTGCACGTTCGTGCAGAGTCTTCTAGAGTCTTCAATACTACGCCCGCCTGAGTCAGAATCCCGGAATTCGACATTGTCACTCCTTGGATCGATTTTCGTTGTCTCCGCAAACATCGACAACGCGACTATCTCCCTCGCCCTGCTCATCAAAGGCGCAACACACAGCGTCGCCACCCCCGATCCTCCCCATCACTCCACACATCCGCAACAATGTCATCGATCGCTCTAGAGACCCCCTTGGCCGAAGCGCTAAGCAGTGCAGTACACTCGAAGATAGTTGACGAAGGATGGACACAAGAGGATGATACGTCACTAGCGGAGTATATCGTGTTGATGCTCGCAAATGGAAAGACACAAGATCAGATTGCCTCTGAACTTGCAGGCGAATTATTACAAGACGCGAAAGGCACCACCGAATTTGCGCAGTGGTTATTTGACCAGGTCAACGCTCTCTCGAACGGCGCTTCTGGCCCAGTTCCGCCAGAGACTTCGCAGTCCTCGGAACAAGTAGCTGAGGCTGCCGCGACAGCTTCATCAGCAGGCAATGGAGTTTCTGCCATTCCCGCCGCGTATGATCAGGATATGGCTGACAATGCCCCGGAGAATGCGTAAGTCCTTCGTTCCCCTTTCTCATGTCAAACACTCTCTGACTTTGTCGTTTAGACCTCGCGGACCCAAAGGCCTCCACGGTGGCCGGCCAGCTGGCAGAGGTGGACGTGGCGGACCTGGTAATAAGGGCGGTGATTCAGTGCTACATCGAACTCGAGGCAACGACCGGATAAATACACACTCGATGCGAGGCGCGCCAAAAGGTCCTCGGAATATTCAAAACCGTGACCTTCGCCCGGGCATGCAGAAGGCTTTGAACGGAATGAACATGTCTGGCCAAGGCATGCAGAACCCAATGATGATGAATAATGGCCAACCAGGTCAACCAATGATGCATATGACACCTCAACAACAGATGGAATTCATGGCTATGATGGAACAGCAAACCCGTATGCTCGCTCAGTTCACGGGCATGATGCCTGGTGCTGGGTTCGGCCAAGGCATTAATCAACAGAACGGCCAGGGTCGTTCACTTTTTGATAGAGTTGAACCAGGGCGCGGGCGCGGAGGGACTCGAGGTCGAGGACGAGGCGGCCACCAAAATGGTCATGGCAAGGGCACCAAGCCTGACGGCGACGTGAGCATGGAGGGTGACGGACAGGCAACCGCTCCCGACGGCTCAGCAACAGAGGTTGAGCAACAAGCGGACGGGGAGAGAAAACCACAAGACCCATCAAACACCATGTGCCATTTCAACCTTCGCTGCACCAACAAAGACTGTGCCTATGCTCATCAGTCGCCCGCCGCCCCAGAGTCCACGGTAGTCGACATGTCTGATACCTGCTCATTCGGTGCGGCTTGCAAGAACTCGAAATGTGTGGCAAAACACCCCTCCCCTGCTCAGCGAGGAGCATTTCAAGCTCAGGAGACATGCAAGTTCTTTCCAAATTGCACGAAGCCGAATTGTCCGTTCAAGCATCCCACCATGCCTCTGTGCCGATTCGGATCTAATTGCAAGACTCCCAATTGCCAGTTTACTCATCTACAAGTACCCTGCCGATTCCACCCGTGCACGAACCTGCGATGTCCATACAAGCACGAACCCGGCCAACAGAAAGCCACCAGCCTGGCGGACTATAGCTGGACTCCAGACAAGCCAAATCAGTCAGATGGGTCTAAGGAACACCTTAGCGACAGGAAGTTCGTGGACGACCAAGCGGGAGAGGAGGAACTCGTCAGGCCTGATGGAGGAGTTGCTGCGGAGGCAAACGGTAATGTTGGTATGAGGGAGGAGGTGATCACTTAGGAAGGATACCCCAGCCCATGGTTGGACCACTTGGCCGACCAGAGCATAATCAACTGATGAGCTGTTCATCAGGAAAGCTGTACAGTATGTCAGGGTTGATAAACCCACCTTAGGAGCTGTGCTCATATACAACGACACGGCCTGTTCATGTAATGGACTGCCCATGATATCGGACAGGGCATGGAATGCAAAAATGATGCTCTTGGTTCTTGTACGAGAAAGCAATTTCAATTATGTGATTTTACTGTAGGAATCTCTTATCTCTTCGATTCTCCGTGACATTTGCTTGAGTGTTGTGAGTCTTTGCCATTCATAAGCTAGAACTCCCGTATCTCGCATGCCGCGCCGATTTATTAGCATCTCAGTCCTCTGTATATTGCCTCTGACGAAGACGCTCGCAAGGAGAATCGCACAGAGTCATCCCGTCCGTTGTGGATACTGCGCAAACTCTTACCGAATCTTCCAATGTTACTGAATCACCGTCGGTGCATATGCATCCGAATGTAGCATCGCTTTCTGTCCGCAACACGTAGAACTGAATGAGTCACATAGTGTGTACATTTCCAGCGATGCTTTTACGAAACGCCCATGCAAACACCGTGCTAGATAAGAACCGAGGAATTCTAGAAGCCGAAAATCACCTTGAGGATCTTGTCTAGACGAATTCACATGAGGATATTAGTCCGATCACACCCTTTAAGCTGATCTACCCAAGCGTCGGCGTGTTAACCATGGATCAAAGCGCCAGCATAACGGATGTGATCACTGCACTCCAACAGATTGTCTCGAATCCGAATCTGCCAACATCCCAAGCTCTCTCGAAAGACAAATCTACACCTCGTCTGATCCTCCCCAAGGGCGCTCCCGGCCTTGACAAGATCCAGGCACAGTCGAACATCTCAACTCCCTTCTCTGCGATCGCATCAAGTTCCAGTCCACAGACCCTTCAGGCTCTAGCAGAGCACCTCGCAAGCACTGTCCTGCCCAACTTGAACCTCGCATCCCTCTCTCCCAACTACTACGGCTTCGTCATCGGCGGCGCCACTCCCGCCGCCCTGCTGGGTGACTTCCTCGCTTCGATCTACGACCAGAATGTGCACGTCCACCTCCCCGCCGAGACTATCAGCACGACCGTCGAAGCCGCCACGCTCAACCTGCTAGTCCAGCTCTTCCGCCTGCCTGCTGCAGACTGGTCGCTCGCTCAACCCGGCGGTCATGGCGGCGGCGTGTTCACGACCGGAGCAACGGCAAGCAACATCCTCGGTCTCGGCCTGGGCAGAGAATACGTCGTGCACAACGCTCTGAAGCGCACAGGCATCACCACCGACCCGGACGCGAGCGTAGGCGAACATGGTCTCGCCGAACTGCTCGTCAAAGCGGGAAAGATCAAGATCCAGGTCCTCAGCACGCTCCCCCACAGCAGCATCGCCAAAGCCGCAAGCGTGGTCGGGATCGGACGACGGAATGTCATCTCCATCTCTGTCGAGGACGATCCTCTACGCATCGACATGGAACGTCTGCGGCTCGAAGCAAGCCGGCCGGACGTTCTCAACATCCTCGCCGTCTCCGCGGGCGAAGTCAACACGGGCCGCTTCGCCACGGATTCTGGCGCGACGATGGGTCGGCTGCGCGAGATCTGCGACGAGTTCGGGATATGGATGCACGTCGACGGGGCGTTTGGGCTCTTTGGCCGCGTCCTACCCCCCGATGACGCCGAGTACGAACAAGTCATCCGCGGCGTCGAAGGCCTCGAGCTCGCCGACTCGATCACAGGCGACTGCCACAAGTTGCTCAACGTCCCGTACGACTGCGGCGTCTTCTTCACAAGACACAAACACCTGAGCGAGGACGTCTTTGGCAACCCGGGCGCCGCGTATCTCAAGGTCCGCGACGGCGACGGTGACGGCGTGCAGAGCCCGTTGAACATTGGCCTGGAGAACTCCAGAGCCTTCAGAGCCTTGCCTGTCTATTGCACCCTGCTGAACTACGGACGGGAGGGCTACGTGGACATGCTCAGACGACAGATCGCGCTTGCGAGGAGGGTGGCCAGGTGGTTGTGGAACGACGCGCGGTTCGAGGTTCTGGGTTCCAAGCCCGGTCAAAGGGAGACCGAGGCCGAAATGGTTGCAAGGACATATATCATTGTGCTGTTCAGGCTGAGAGAGGGCGACGACGGCGACGTCGATGGGAGGAGGAGGAGGAGGAGGGACTTTGTTAAGAACGTGAACGCGACAGGAAAGATATACATTAGCGGAACGGTCTGGGAAGGCGAACCTGCCGCGAGAATAGCCGTGAGCAATTGGCAAGCTGACGTGAAGAGAGATGGCGACTTGATCGAGAGTGTTCTGCACGAAGTTGCAGGGAACGCATGAAGGGAGCCTAGTGACTGACATATCGACCTTGGTGCGATTAGAGCCGACGAGTTAGCACTTGTTGGATTGCATCAACCCTTAGATCACCATGGAGTACATGATGTGATGACCTTATATATGGTTACGTCTTCCGTGTATACAAGCAACGAGACATGCTGCGTGACCTAAGCTGAGTCGAAAGAGCAAACGAGTTCAGGCACACGTAGCACTAGAATGTCAGTACACAGTAGTCACCATAGGAGGGAGTTTTGGTGGAGAGTCTAGACTGCGCGAGACGGTTTCATAACGTTGAAAATTTCATAGCATTCAGAATACAGCACCCCCAATGATGAAGATGCGCTCTTCCTCCCTCTGGATCCACTGGACTACTTTATTTGCACTCTGCGCCAGGGCATTCCTGGATACGGACGGACCAGCCACGCAGTAAAGCTCAAACATGGGCGTAACCCAAGCCAGGGCTGTGGCGGTTGAGCTAATACTATGTACAACCTTGACGGCGGCATGCTTGGCGTGGACTGTTGCGTGTAATTTGTGGTACAGCGACATCAACCGTCTTCGCTGATTCAATGTTTCGAAATCCGGCGAGAAAGACGGCATGAAGAATTGCACGTTCCCCTTTGACTTGTAGAGAAAGTGCCGCAAAACAGTCCCGGCGATGATGTCGGTTGGGGCCGGTCGGCCAGCCTGCACGGAAGCATGAATAATGTGCATGCTTCGGTTACGTCGGAACTCGTGGACCAGGTAGTCCTTCATGCTGTGCATATCCTCGAAGCTCTCTTTGTTGGCACTGAGCAAGATGATGGCGACAGAATCCTCTTTAGCGATACGCTCGTTGGTGTCCAATTCTCGGACATGCTCACCACCCATGTCTAAAAAGCTAACGTACATATAGAGGTAGCCGGTATTGTTGAAGCCAGGCAAACAGATGGGTACCCAAGAATCGCCCCCTCCTGCTTTTATGCCTTCGGCCTCGAATATCATGTTAAAAATCAGCTGGAGATCGCTCGCGTGCAATGAATGCTTCTTGGGCCTGATGACGCTGACAAGTCTTCCTCCTGCAACCACTAGTCCATAGAGCAAGTCGTCGACGCGGGCTTTGATCATGGTATTGTTGATCACCTGCCTTTGTGACTTGCGTATCTTGAGGCATTCTAGAGCCGACAATAATGTTGACGGTGATCCACGTGTGAAGCTATCGGCGAGAGACGAGAGTAACACTTCTGTACCTTGGAGAGGTCTCCTCAGATCGGTTGAGGGGCGTACTGAAAATATATGCGTCAAGGTAGGCAGGGTCAGTGTTGACAAGATCTGCATGTACAAAGCCTCCAGCTGAAGACGTAGCTGAGCCTCGCTTTCAGGGAGACTTGTGACCCCGACCAGAAACAAGTTTGTCTGGGAAAGGATAACAAACCGAACACCGTCAGCTTGGAAGCTCTTCAACTGGTCGCCATTTCCAGCAAAAGAAGAGATAATCGTCTGTAGAATACCCACGTAGCTTGAGATCACCGCGTCAGAGCCATGTCGAGTATAGATCGGTTTGCCGGCTGCAGAAAGAATGATGAAATGTTTCCTTTTCGCTTTCCATAACATGTGAGCCACGTCTTCACCGACCGCCTTGTCGTCAAACTCTTCAAATTCCTTCGCAAAGTCGACATCTCCTTGGTCGTAGGCATTGTTGAGATCAATTTCGAACAGTGCTTGCTCACTGGTTGACGAAGACGGTCCATTATCTTCCCCTAAGTCGCCGTCAAAGATACTCTCGGCGTCTTGCACAAATCTTCCGAATGGTTTATAACTCCTAATGCTAGAAGTATCCTCCGCACCCTCACTTGTGCTCTTGTATATCGACGCTGCAATCGAACGGCTGGAGGAGGTGCGGGAAGGTGCAATTCGCGTTTCCTTCGTGCCATCTGGCCGATTGAGACTGTGTACATCGGTCACGGACACTGCCGTCGTCGGACCGGCGAGAAGACCAGGTCGCGCAGAGGGTCGGGAGGCATGACTGCTCGGAGGCCGCTCTTGTAACAGGCTGAGTTCGCTAGGGCGAGGTGGGAGCGGTGGTCTTGCTTCGGGGCTTTGCGCTTGACTCTCTCCCGAGGGACCGGTGTCTTCTTTGGGCATCGCTGTAGTCTGGACAATCGAGATACAGTCCAGTATGCAGTGTGGGATCAGCCTCCATCATGTACAATGTGTCCAGTCGCGTGAGCATCGCTCATTGCACTCATCATGAAGGAGACCGTGTAGACATCATTTTCTACAGATAATAATAACGATGATGATAAGTAGATATGAAGCAAGAGACAGCGATGGGGTGTGGCGGCTCTGCTGTGATTCGCTGCGCGGAGTGTCTGCGCCGGCGCCAGCAACGAGTGTCTGGAATAACGTTTCTTGACACCCGATGGGCCAATCACTCTCCTGTCCCCAGTCAAACCACCGTGGCTTCGACTGGGTAAAGACTTATCAATATTGCAACTAGGATGATCTTCTAGGGAATATCAAGACCACCCTGATTGATCAGTCCGCGGTTGGTCCGACTCCTCATATCCAAGACAGTACTATCGGAGTCGTGTCCTCGTTTCGAAAACTCCCTTGACATGGAGCCTTAGCAGGCATCAGCATTCTCTTGTCTCCCCAGGCAAACAGCGATGCTGCCACAGGAAAGCAGAAGGAGATTCAGTGATTCCGGCCATGGCGAGCGTTTCCAAAGCTGTTCGCCGCTACCAGGCTGGCGTTGAGAGAGCGTTAGGACTGTTCGACGCGTCAAACGAATGGGCAGATTATATTTCATTTCTCAGTCGACTTGGAAAAGCACTCCAAGCATCGCCGCCTGATACCGATGTGCCATTCAAATCACAGCTGGCAAAATATTTGGCACTTTGTTTGAAACCGTCATTGCCGTCCGGTGTACACCAGAAAGCCTTAGAAGTCTATAACCTAGTCTTCACTCTTCTGGGAAGAGAGGGCCTTTCTCGAGATCTTTCGATATGGCTTCCCGGAATTTCTCATACGCTCACATTTGCTTCGCTGACCACAAGGCCATTGTTCCTCGCGCTCTATGACGATCATCTGCTGCATTTGCCCAGCCATGTTCTGCGGCCAGCGTTAAGAGCCACTATCTTGTCCCTCCTGCCTGGGATTGAAGAAGAGAACAGCGAAGATTTCGACCGTACCTTCAGCACCATCAATCGCCTGAGGCAAATCTTTGCGGACGACAATTCGGAAGCGTTCTTTTGGCAAAGTCTGTTCCTGGCTTCAATGACGAGTGTGACCAAAAGGCCAGGGGCGCTAGTCTATTTGACTAAACAGCTTCCAAACATGGGCCCCGGTATGGCCCAAGTCTCTTCACTGGCAAATTCAAATGGTGATCCGCCTGCAGAAATTGAACCCCAAATCAAAGCAGTCACAACTCCTGAACCTGGCTTGCTTATTCGCTGCTTTGCGACCGGTCTCCAAGATGACCAGCCTCTGGTGCAGAGGGGCTTTCTAGATCTGCTGGTCTCGCATTTACCGCTCAATGCGCCTCTGTTGCAGCACCATGTTTCACCAAAAGATTTGGATGTCCTTGTAACTTCAGCCATGTCTGTTGTACTAAAGCGGGATATGAGTCTGAACCGGCGCTTATGGACCTGGTTTGTCGGCAGGGAAGATAAGCGTGAAGGATCTACGGATGTCGCCCAACCTCTCACGGACGACCCGCCTTCAAAGACAAACAGAAATGTTAGGACATCAAGCCGGCATGAGTACTTTTCCGCATATGGGCTGGACTCGGTGGTGAGAAGTCTTGAGAAGCTCCTGAAGAAGCAATCTCTACATCCTATCGAGAGAGCACGCCCCTTTCGGATAATGCTTTCCTTGATGGATCGCTGGGTGATAGGCAAATTGCCCGTGGAAGCTTTGTTCATACCAGCAATGCAGGACCTACAACAATATCAGAGATCAGCTCCCTCGCAGACATCCTTTGACGAAGTCTTCCGAAGCGCGAACGTCTTCTTTGACGCAACAGAACCTCAACTTGTGACGAGTCAATTGTTCCGCTTGCTTGAGAAGAGAGATTTTGAACTGATCGAATTCATAATCTCAAATTTTAATTTGCAGGAAGAAGAAATGGTGATAATTCATCTGCCGATGCTTTGTCTAGCAATATCTGAAATGCTGGCTGTCAGCACCAGCTCTCCCTTGACCGATAATGGACATCAAAAACCAGATCATGTCTATGAACAATCGCTATCGAGGCTTCTAGAAGCACTGATCAGCCTTCTTCCATCGAAAACAACCGAAGTGGGTGGTGAAACAATACAAGAACCTTCAGGAGAAAATTGGATGAAGAAGCTCAATGAAGTCTACAGCAATTCCTCTTCTGTAAAGAAGGCCCTCGTCGACGCTATTGAGCCTGCCCTTGCTGATCAGCTTCTCCTCCGCAATTTGAGTCTGGCTCTTCTGCAATGTCTACGCGCGGAGTCTCGCAAGAGCTTGATAGGATCACTTGTTAACAGTTTAACGAAGGTTATATCTAGGAGCAGCAATCTCGAAGCCTTGGGTCGTCTCGATCTTGGCAAAAAGCTTTATGAAAGCCTTTTCTCTCATTCTAAGACAACGACAGCTAGCGAGTACGAAACCACCCGAGCTGTTACGAGGATCATGGATGCCCTCTTTGCATTCGATGCCAACAAGAAAGTCCTCGCGAATCAACACCTCTTGCTTTTGATTCCTGCTCTTGTCCATCGTCTTTGGGAGGTTCTGCTTCCTTCCACTCCTCAATTCCATGTCGAGGCTGTCGAGCACCTATGGAACCTGCGCATGATTTCTGGGGAACTGCTATTAGTTGACAGTAAGATAATGGATCTCATGTGCGAACAACCAACTATAAGTCCGCTTGCTGATCAAGTCGCACGATTCTCGACCCTTTGGATGCACACAAGATTTCCCCACGTCAATGCCGAGCTCTTCTCTGCGTCTCATCGCATTGAGGAGGACGATGTTCCCTGGGCGATGCTCCGACAACCTGTATTACATGTAATAGACAAGTTTGAGGTTTCAGACCGTGATGACCCTCGACGGCTATGGCTAAATAACCTTCCGACAATTCTTCCCGTCTTCCGAATCCTTTTCAGCGAATATGCGAGTGCCACAGACAAGCAGCTTTCATTACTTGGCCTCCATCGACTTCAAAAACTCATATTGTTTGCACACATGTCCGGAACCCACCAAAGAGAACTCTTCGGTCCTGATGGATCTGCAAGCATGCTTCTCGACATGTGCATCGAGAATATTGCTAACGACCAAAACGATAAAGAGACTATAAAGATGACACTATCGATTCTGCGTATCCTGGTTGAAAAGACCGACATCCGCGACGCACACGATCTGGTCACCCTGCTGCTGCGACGGTTAGTCAATGCTGAAGCCGAGGATGCCACGCAAGAAGACCTTTTGGATACCTTGCAAACGATCTTCGCAAAGCCAAATCTTGGTCCGCCCCCAAACGAGCTTATGCACATCCTTATCTCGGGCATATCCTCAAAGAAGGTCGACTCGCACATCGATAAATGGATTACACTTTTACGCAATATCTTACCACTTTACACAACCCAGTACTTGTTGGCGAATATGCTGAAGCTTACTGCTTGCTTCTGTCAACGCATCAAGTCATATTTTGGCACAATTCAGCAGCTATGTGAGAAATGTGAATCGTCGGATCCTGTCGACAATGATGCCGATATAGCGGTTGCTAAATACCCCGAAAGATCGATCAACAACCTCCTGTCAGGACTTGAATTCATCCTTGCGAGGGCGCATACGCATCTATCTGATCGTCCTACAAGCTCCGATGGTTCAATCAACAGTTCTATCGAGATTGCGCAGTCTCGGGCAGGCGCCAACAACCGGTTGACTGTTATATTGTGTATGCAAGATACGATTAAACTTTGTGGCGACATCTGGGCTTGGAGGATTCTCAGACATTCCTCTGGTGCAGTGGTTGACACAAAGTCGTTTGTATATCTTTCATCTAGGTTACGAACGAGAACAAGACGACTTCTAGAACACCTATCGGATGCAGAACCACAAGAATGCCTTGAGACGCTGATGGGTATGTGGGTAGAAGGTACTCGTCGGAACACCGAGCAAGATGCTACCATGAGCTTGATGCAGAGTCTTGATGGAGCTCGTCCAAAGTTCATGATGCCCGCGACTTTCAACGGCATTTACAATCGCACAAATCCTTCTGCGCTTGACTTGTCACAGCGGTCGAGTTTATCTGTTGATGTCACGGCTCTTGACCTGATGTCTTTCCTCATTGCGTACACCAAAGCTCTGGAAGACGATCTTCTGGAAGAGATTTGGGCCGACTGCACAGCATTCCTTCGCGAAGTGCTCGCGAATCCCATGCCACATCGACAGATATTGCTTCAGCTGCTTCAATTCGTTGCTGTGGTATGTCAAAAGATGGAGAATACCAATTTTGGCGAAGTTTCCAAGATGCGCCGTGAACTGGCTGATCTGTGTGCGAGGCTGTTCACTGCGATTTTTACCATTCGACCTACTGGTCTTGATCCGTCATTGCAAGGAGCACCGGATTCGACCTCGGGCCGGAAAGGTATCCTTCAATCTGGCAATGCCATTCACATCCTTTGCGAATGCTTGCCAGTCATCGGCAGCACTTTGGGAGATCAGGACAAGTTGAACAACACATTGACAGGAGTGGCGGTACATATCACCGGACCTGCACTAAGGTCGAAGCTGTTCCCCCAATCTGTCAACATCGATATTCTTCGGCTGATACTCTTAATGGCTAAGTCTCAACCGACTAGTAAAATCTGGAAGAAGGATGTGCTCGACCTTTTCAATGACGCCAAGTTCTTTCAGTCTCCTGCGTCCCTAGCCGACGGAGGATGGTTCCCACTACTGCGGCAAGCCTGGCTAGTGGACAAAGGCTTGATGACTGACCTTGTATCCAAATTGACCGCTCCTACCACTGCTGGGCTGGTGTTTGGAGTGGGCGCGGCTGCTGCGCGTACAGAGGCTGACAAGCGAACCCAGCTGATACTGAGACGCATTGCTGTTCTCTTGCTTGCGGGCGAGATAGATGCCTTTGTGTCTGAGATAGGCCAGATTGTACTACGATTGGAGGAACTTCTGACAGCCACGCCATCGTCATCGCCTTCATCAGCTACACGCGGAGACATCTACCTTGTTCTCCGGGCCATGGTGCTGTCGTTCTCCCAGATGCATCTTGTTTCCACCTGGCCCATTGTCGACGTGGAGCTGCGTGATCTGTTCACCAACGTTCAAAGCGGAGAAGAATCTACGTTTACGGGTTACTCGCAAGTACAAGGGGCGAAGCTACTCGATCTGCTCTTGCTCCTGAAACTCGAGGAATTCCAGCCACACGAATGGGTATTTGTGACAGACACAATTGATGCCATACATCCGCCGCAAGATTTCAAGTCTGTTGCAATAGCTGATTCGTTGATCCCACAAGGGGGCAAGGACATTGAACTTCCATCAGTCGCGGAGGATGAGGCGAGAAGGCCGTGGCTGGGTACCGAGCTGAGCCGAACACAAGAAGATCCTACGTCTTTGCTACGGCCATTTTTTAAACAACTGAGCATTCATGCATTTGAAGACACCTACAGCCTCGAGGCTATCGACCTTGACGCATGTAGGGCCGATCTTGTGGCGGATCTGTTTACGGACTGAGAGATAGATAGTTACCTAGCCAGCTTTTTGACAGTGTATCCCTAGCAAAAAATTTTGATCTCACCAGTACGAGAAAGCTTGCGCCCATATTGTACGATGGCGACCAGACTAACATCCGACGCCTTCGGATGAGGCACTGACAACCAACGCACCAGGCATCCCGATCTGTGCCGTTAGTACGGAGTAATTACGGAGAGGTCAGTACATCAGATGCTCCGCGAATTCCCTACGCCGGAATTCGTGGCAGTGCCCGAGGCTGTGGGTGGAGTAGACCAGGTGAGCCCGCGTTAGGGCAGCTAGTGATATGCTTGCCAACCTCGTGTGCTCAATGCCTCGTCTTCTCGGTCCGTGATCAAGAAAATCCCACTGCTCTACCAGACACTGAAGCCTCGACGCCTTTGGTCTGAACACCATCGATCACACCAACTTCCACATCCTTCTTCCACTTCGCCCATCCGTTCCCGCAGTCCCGCACCACCTTCGCGACGCAGCTATGGCATCTCGTCTCCTCGTCCCGCGATTCTCCTCCGCTTCGAGATCGATCAGAGCTTCTGCCATTCCGTCCAGATCCTTCCAGACATCGAGCAGACGGCTGCAAGAGATTGCCGCAACCCCTGTAAAGAAGCCCGTGGGAGCTTTCAGAGGAGGGTAAGCCATCTTCCGAGATCTCATGACCGGGAGCTACAAGCAACTCTCGCGCAACAACACACTTCGCACATTTTGGGACATGCGATGGCTGACACGCGCACTTGCTAGACTCTTTGGATTCCTGCTTGGGTCTACACTTGCTGGCGCTTCGGTATACTACTACATTCTCGAAGAGTACAAGGTCTCCAACGAGCTGTTGACGGAAGATATCTATGTACGTTGCCCTGCTCGATTACCCTTGATGAGCTGCCGATTATGAAGCGTGCTCGTACAATGAGTGCATGCCGGCCACCTTACTTACCTGCATCACTATTCCATGGTCGCTCAACTGGCTAACATTCGCTATAGGCTCTCCAAGCAGCAGTGCAACGGATCCACTCCTACGTGACGGAGCTCGACAACAAGATGGCGCAGATGAAGAAATGAACTTAGGCAAGGGAACGCCAGTGTTGCACCAGTATGCTGGGAGGAAAAGATCAAGAGCTTGTCATGGCGCCGGCTAGAGCTATGCGACGTGGTTTGGCGATTTCACTGCACACATATGGGTTATTCGATACCTCATTGCCAGGTTAAGCGCTGTAAAAACACAATCTTCTATGTCTTCTTCGCGCCGTGTGCTCGAGTGGAGGAGGAATACTTTCGAGCTTTTGCCCGGGGCAAGCATATACGAGTACGGTCACGGTTCATGCGAGCAAGGAAATACAAATGGTGAAGAGAGCGGAAATGTTGTTTTGCTGCGTCCTGGGCGATGGTGGAACTCTTACCTATCTTCCTCCTAATGGCACCATCGCGCTCACATGGCGAGCGGAATACTCATAGGCATGTTGAGCGTCGTACTCGCACCCTAGGTAGCACATTGATCATTCATCCGATGCAGCCGGCCCCAGCCTTGCCATATCTGCCCGTCACGTGTCAGGCTAGTAAATTTCCCCAGATTCTCGCCCGACTCTCTTGGTCTCGATTCTCGACGCACCCATTACCACGACCAAAGATCCCCCTCCCACTCGGTGCTTGGACCTATGCCGCTGATCGAAGAACTCCCGGTGTCCGGCGGGACTCGTATCTCCCACGGCTGGGCGTACGTTCCTGATACAGGGGCAACAGTCACCGCGGCGCAACCCAGTTCCCGCAAGCGCGGACGAGACGGCAACATTGCGTCTGCAGCATCCAACGCACAAGCCGCGCACAAGTTATCCGCAAAGCAGGAAAAGGCCATACAGCAACGACTGAACGATCTGGGCAAGGAAAACCATCGCGAAATCCACATCGCCATACCGAAGCGCGAGACCGCTGCCGGCACGGCCGCACGAGCAAAATCCACACCGAACGTACGTCGCATATTAGGCTACAGCAGGACGTTCCAGCATTACCTGGCCGACGAGGAGGCGGGGGTGAATGTATACGGTGCCGCTGCCGCCATCGCCGCCGGCGCTAGTGGCGGTGCATCAGCCAGCACTGCCGCCTCGTCGAAGAACACCGATGCTCGAAAGCGGACAGAGACCAAGACATCGGCGCAGAAGAGGACGAGCTCGGTGAAAGAGACAAGAAAAGCCGGCTCGGCGGCTCCACCGCCGACGACTAAGGGTAAAAGAGGGGGAAGAACGAGGGGGAATGCTGCTACTAACGCGGTGGAAGGAGACGGGGATATTGAGATGATAGATGCCCCCCCTTCTCCGGCGGCGAATGTGAAGAAGGAAACAACGACAGAGGTACAGCAAAACGTTCAACAACAAGGGAAAAAGACCGAGACTCAACAACAGGCAATTTATGATCCGGCACTGGACAAGGACCCGTTACTCAAGACGCGCGATGTGCCCAAGCCGCCGACGGAGCGTGTAATGCAAGCTCTCTTGGCCGAACCGATGCTGAGTTATAACGCCGCAAGAGCGAAACCCTTGCAGGGGGCGGACAACCCGGAGTTTGAGATCCGGACGGGGAGCAGCGTCCTCATGGCGAAGCCTCAGCGCTGGTTTTGTTCTGTCTGCGGCTACTGGGGCAAAGTGAGGTGTCGACACGGCTGTGGAGAGAGAGTTTGTGGACTGTTGGAGTGCTGGAGAGGCCACGAAGGCGTCTGTGCCTTGGCTGGATATTGATAACGATTTGGTGCCACGGGATAAGTTGAAGACCTTGAGTATTGGAAGGAATAGTACTCGAGAGGTTCGTCCAAGAGTGGCGTGGACAAGGAGATGGCGGCGTGCAGCGTTCAAGCGAAGGCCTTTTTTTTTTTCTCAATACGTACAGGAGTACCGTTACGATCATGGACACTTGGGTTACGGACAGTATAGATACGGATACCAGAGAATCACGAAAGGAAAGAATAGATCTTGGTACCCCAGAGAACGACACTCATGACAGATCTCCCGCACAGTGCAACAGTGTCAGAGTATCGTAGTTGCGCCATCATCCCGCGTAGCGGAAGAAGCTAGAAGTATCATTTCATCATTGCACAAAAGTCGTATGGGTATCATTCAGATCGTCTCGTCTCACCGTCCTCTGCTCGTTCATTCACGGCGCCATCGTAACTCGGTCGGCCCAACGCCGCTTGCTGACATGGTATCCACAGACGCACTAACTGATAGTGAGTACATATCGGCCAGGTACACACTCTGTAGGTGGCGATCCTTCATACGTGTCGTGCGTACGTCCTCAGCCGGCTTTCCTCATACCACATATCCCACATACACCGGCATCTCCGGCATTGAGATACCGATTGTCGCCTTCTTTGCAGATTTCGCTTCGACATGACCAGTGCCGAGGGTCTTTTCTGGGGTCTAGCACATGAGCGCACGCTACGCAGGTCGCGTTGACACGTGGGTTCTCAAGAGAGCAGATCGGGCAAGATATCGTTGCTGAGGGTGTCGACGTCCCATGTTCTCGATGTTGGTTCCGTCGTTCTCCTCTTCGTTCTCTTGCGTTTTCAATTGCTGGCGTGCTGTGCGATGCTTCTTTGGCAGGTGTTGGTTCTGCGTGAGAGACCGGATGTGGCTTCTTGGTTAAGTCGTCGTCGTCGTCACAACCACCACCACCACCACATCCATTTCCCGCTATTAGATGCTCGCCCGGAGGTTTATTCTGCGCGTGCTCTGACGAAGCCGCTTGACTTGGCCCGGCCACAGTGCCACTCTGTGATTGTTTCGGACGCCGTCTGAAATAGCGCTCTAGACCCTCCAGTTCCCTCAGTTCATTTTGAACATTCTCGTCGTTTTTATCTTCCTCTTCACATACCCTGACCAAGCCACGGCCTTGGCCATCGAGCATCTTTTCGCCATTGACGTCCTTGGCATCTTCACCCTCAGCCGCATCGACATCTTCATAGTCTTCTTCCTCTTCCTCTTCCTCTTCCTCGTCCACCTCCGTACTTTGCCCCTCACCAGATTCATCCCTGCTGCCCTTCAGCGCACCCACCTCCTGCTTATTCGTGTCGAGCCTCGCCAGCGCCGCGGCGGCCCTGAGCTCCCGTCCACGTTTACTCTGCGCCACGCGAGGTTTCCCTCCGATGGGTCCTTTCCTGTTGATCTCCAAGCCGAGTCGTTTATCTTCGTCCTCTCCGAGCGCGACGCCATTCCGGCCGAATTTCCTCTCGATTCGTCGTTCCTTCTTCTCCTTCCACGTCAGCTCCTCCTGCCCGCCGCGCTTGGCTTTTCGTTTCCGTCTGGCGCCGCGACTCCGGTACGTGCCTCCACACAGCGGCAGACCTTCCAGCTCCCGGCTCGTCAAGATGTTGTTCCCCATGACCGAATTCATGTCGTTGAGGGTCCGCCCGCTGCCCCAGAACCCTTCGCCGGTGTAACCCCTCGCCCACAGCTGCTTGAGCTCCTCGGCGTAAATGTTCCTGGTCTCCCAGAACTTCTTGCCGTGGTTCATGTGCGTGTTGTGCGCCAGCTCGTGCATCATGACCATCTGCACCATGTTGAACGGCACCCATCCGCCGTTCTTGCTGCGCAGCACAAGCTGGATGATTTCGCCGTTGTTGAAGTTGCGCCCGATGAACTCTGGGTTGGGCTCGTACTCTTCCAGCGTCGTCACGGAGAGGTAGTGGTTCTTCATGATGGGTAGGCATTGTGCAGCGACGGCTCGGAGGAAAGTGTCGGCGAGGTCGTAGTCCGCCTTTTGCGCCGCCGGTCGCGGGAGAGGCTTGATGAACACGACCCGATCATTGGGATGTGACGACTTTTGATGATTGAGCCGCAAGGTGTTTAGGGGCATTCTCGATGTTGGAGTCGGCAGTGTGTGTCCACAGCCCTTTTGCGTTGCTCTGCTTGACCCTCGTTTACCTATTAAAGAGGCAAAAGACATGACGCACGAGATTGGCCACTCGGTCGCGCCACGCGTAAAGTGCTTTTTCGCCAAAGCACGTGACGAGCATCTTCCTTTGCCGAGGCACATAGAGTAAGACCTAAACCTCATGCCACACGGATCTCACTCCGTCTTGGTAGCCATTGGGGAAGTATTGCATCGTATTGCCCTTGAAAGTCGACTATGCATACCAAAGTCTTTCAAACCTATCAAACGTCCAATCTACAGGTGAGATCTCGGTTTGTGTATCCTTACCCTCAATCGTTTCAAACTTGACGGCATGGGGCAGATGAAGCCATCGTCCTCGACATCGGGGTTCTTCCAGGACTTCCCAGTCGTTCTACCTCAATATACGAGCACCACATCTTCAGAGTCTGCCTCGACATCCGATGACCCAACATTACCCCGTATTCTATCATTATATCTTCCCACACCCACCCCGCGCGAAGTCTCAAAGCATCTCCATGACTTCTCGCGTCTTGTCCTGTCGCCGTCGACCCTGAGCCACACAGTCGACTGCGAAACCGACCAACCGACGCTCCACCCACTCACTACGTTCGGCGAAGAGAACAAGACATCACCGCTCCGCACCAGCGAAGGGTGGCGAGCTCTCAAACAGATCCAGACCAAAGCCGGCGTTGTAGGCCATGGCTACGCGCACGCCTCGATCCACGCCCCTTTCAACCGACGCATCAACCAATTCGCAACGCTACAGCTCTGGGACGGGAGCGCCGCCCTGGCAACGTGTCCCATTGCCATGACCGACGGGGCTGCCGTGCTCTTGCGACGCCACCTCCACGACGAACCAGACGACTCACAGCCCTTTCGGGCCGACGTCTTTCTCGAATCCTACCGCCGTCTCATCTCTCTGGACCCCAGCTACGCCTGGACATCGGGGCAATGGATGACAGAACGCACCGGCGGCAGCGACGTCAGCGGCACTGAAACCGTCGCGCGCCGCATGACGCCACAAGAGCTCGAATCCGACGCCGCGGCCTCTCGCGACCAAGACGCCCACGGCCTCCCGCTCGGCCCTTGGACCGTGAGCGGATACAAATGGTTCTCGTCCGCGACAGACGCCGACATGACGATCCTGCTGGCGCAGACAGACAAGGGCCTCAGCGCGTTCTACGCACCGCTCCGCCGTCGCGTCGGCCGCGGACAAGCACACCACCACACTGACACTGAGATGAACGGCGTGCGGCCGATCCGACTCAAATCCAAGCTCGGCACAAAGGGCCTCCCGACGGCGGAGCTCGAGGTGGCCAACATGCGCGCCTACCTCATCGGCCAGGAGGGCCAGGGGGTGAGGGAAATCAGCTCCATCCTCAACATCACCCGCCTGCACACCGCGCGCGGCGGAGCGGGATACCTGGGCCGCGGCCTCGCTGTGTCACGAGCGTACACGCGCGTCCGCCGTGTCCGCGGCGGCCTGCTGTCCGACAACCCGCAGCACCTCGCCTGGATGGCCGACGAGACGGTCAAGTACGCGGCCGGCTCGCACCTGGTCTTCCTGGGCGTCGCGCTACTCGGGAGCTCCGAACAGGGCCACGACGCCGTGACGCGGGGCACACCCGCGGGCGCCCTCCTGCCTCGCGACAAGGAGTCAGCCGACACCCTGCTCAGGATCATCACGCCCGTCATGAAGTCCCAAGTCACCATGAACAGCGTCTCCGGGCTGCGGGCGTGCATGGAATGCCTCGGCGGCGTAGGCTACTGCGAGAACAACGAGGACGGCGGCGTCCTGAACGTCGCGAGGCTGTTCAGGGACAGCGTCGTCGGCACCATATGGGAGGGAACCACGAGCGTCATGGCCGAGGACGTGTTGCGTGTGATCAAGAACCCGAAGGACAAGGAGCGCCGGCGCCGACGCGACGTCTTGGACGCCGTGTTCGGGGCCTGGACGCGTGCTGTCCTGGCTGCAGTCGAGCAGGTCTTCGCCCTCCAATGCCGCGCCGTGTTGAACCGGTACGACGCCCTGAAAGAAATGGTGGATCGGCTCAGCGTGGGGGAGCTGCTTCGTCGTGGAAGGGACGTCCTAGACCATATCGAAGCAGTAGCCTGCTCTTGCCTGCTGATGTTTGACGCCTGCAGGGACGGAGACGAGGTCGCAAACGCTATTGCGAAGACGTGGGTTAGATCAAAGGCCTTACCGGCAGACGCTGCCGCTCTCGAAGAACCAGCCGACTGGATGAAAGCGGTTGATCTCGATAGGAAGATATTTCTTGGATCAGATGCTGGGACCCGTGCGAGGGCACAAGCAAGACTTTAGGACAGAGTCATGAAAATGGTCACCATGTTATGTAAACGCCCGATCTAGTTCAACCAGAAATGATATATGTTTAGATGCCGCGGCTTTGCGGCACACGCACAAATCCTTTTCTGATGCGTCGGAAGCTATCTCAACTCGACACCTCGGTGACCTTACCAGAAAACCCAGATAATCCTGACGGATTCGGCGCCGCAGCTCCCGTTACAGGGCCAGGGGCTGTGACGGTGGGAACAACGAAAATCGAGTCCCCAGCGTTCATCCACTCCACGGTGCTTACAAATTGAAAAGATATCTCAACTTCCTCTGGCTTCTCAGACACAAATGTGTTCGAACCTTCAATAGTATCGTCGCCGTCAAAGGAGAACACCTCCACCTCTTGCCGCGCAGTATCGAACGCATCTCTTTGCTCTCCTTCGTTTGTAGCCATGGCCACTACCTTCACTGCTGCACGAACAGTGTTGGCATATACAATAGCGTGGCCGCCTAGTATCAGTGAAGGAAGATTTGGATTTGCAAAGTCAGCGGACGAGAAAGTGGCAGAGAAAGACCGATACCCAGAAGGTCGCCCTTCAACGCCCATCAACACCATACCTTTGCGAGCCTTTTGCAGATCCACGAGATCACTTCCACCGTCGATTGGTACAACTCCAATGGTTCCAGTTTCTCCATGACGCATTTGAGTAACTGGAAGTCGAAGACTACGAAGTGAAGCCACCTTTACCCGCACATATATTGGTGTCAGCCGAGTAGCGCTGACAGACATCCTCGGGCTTTCTTGGTACGAGCGTGCAACGATATTCGCCCCTTTTGGAATCGAGGAAGCTTCATTGCTGTAGGATTTTGACTTCAACATCAGCCTGAATGCCCGCGGAGAGTTTTGGTCCTGATCGATCACAAATGGCCCAAGATCCAGCACGTCTCCTACAGAGACTTTGCCTTGAGCAACCAGCCCGCAGAGAACTACACCTGGGTTCCTGTGACCAACATGTGTATCCAAGGTGTATACCCGCGAAGGCGGTATGCTAAAGACCTCATCGACTTGGAAAAGAGTTGAAATGCTGGGAACAGTGTGTGGACGAGTCGACACCCTGTCACCGAGACCTGTAATAGGGACGGAGCGTAGCAGCGCATGTACTTTGGCGATCCCTTGCCCTGTAACTGCACTGGTCATCAAAATAGGAACCTTTTTCCTGGTGCTGCCATCTTCCATCGATGCTACAAGTTGGTCGGCCTCGGTCTGATCCTGATCAGGAATGGACTGCAGTTCTGGTGCGAAGCCACCAACCTCGGGCACTGCAATTGCGCCCAGGCTGTTGCCTAATACCATAGGTGACTTTCCAGCAGCTTTCAGGGCAGAAAGTAACTTGGTCAAAACCGAACGAAGACCAGTCTTATTTGCGAGATCCATCTTGGTTATGACTATGATGAGAGGTAGATCTAATCGCAGACATAGGTCAAGATGGCATAGTGAAAAATCAACTTGCGTTGCTCCTTTGTGGTCTGCGGAACCTATGTTAGTGGAAATAGTGTCGCCAAAGTGGCTCTTATTGCCCTCGTTATCATCTGCTGCAACGCAGAGAACAGTCCAGCTTGGCTTCCAAGATATTACGCTGCGAAAGGTTGACTTTGCGAATCGAGGCTGGCCGGGAGAATCGGACAAGAAGACCAAGCGATCTGCTAGATTGTGCATGTCGGTCCAAGAAGAAACATTGCCCGAAGCGTAGTTGATGACAGATTGTTGGCATGCTCGATTGGTCTGGTAGCCGATAAGTTCTTGTGCGACCGAACTTGTAACCCCGGAAGCGATCTCGTGTCGATGCTTCAGCAATGACAAGCGGCTTTTCCCGCGACCATTGTCAAGAGTAGACGTCGAGAGTGTCCCAAGGAGAGTAGACTTGCCAGACGCAGCAGCCCCAACCAGTGTGACCCGAAGCTGCTCCGTTGACGCCCCCTCGACTACTTGATTATCGATCTCTTCCGAAATGCTCTCACCGGTTTCGAGAGTCTTCCTTGGCTTGTCTAAACTTGTGGACATCCGCGAGTCTGGGAAAACTAAGACTTCCGCAACCCAAAGTCTGTCTTCTTGCAAGCAGTCCTTTTCTGAGCAAGCTTGAGAACCCAGCATTTCATAAGGTCCTACTGAAACTCTCCGAAGCACGCTGGTGGTGCAACCTAGACTGGCAGCCATAGTCTCAAGGTTGCTTAGGCTCTCCTGCAGCTCTTCGCCCGTAAGGCCAACCAGTGTTCCGTCATCAGCCACACCGATTTCATATAGCGCGCCTTGACTTTCTTCCAACCCTGGCAGGAGCCTGGATGGCCTCCCGGGCCCGCCTGACCCTGTAGCTTCTTCAGGAAGCACCGGCAAGACCAGATCCCCATTCGAAGAGGAATGAAAAGGGGATGACTGCTGGAGTCTCCACAGCAGCTGCGTTGTTAGCTGCTGTAGCCTGAGTTGACGGGCTTGTCCAGATGGCTGGCCTAAAGGGCGTTCCAAGGTCGAGTCGCCTGAACCATATGTTGGCCTATTTGGTGCATGTGAGCTCGCCGGATCCAGGTCTGAAGCCGTAGCCGTGGACTCGTTCGAAACAGCCTTGCGCCTTGGGCGCAGAAGCAGGTGTAACTTGTACTCTGTGGGACCATCCTGCCTTTCCGGTTCGAGTTTTTCAACGGTAGGGGCAATGAACTTGTGTTCACCCTGCGACTTCTCCCCAATGGCAGTTTCTACATTCTGCGAAGGCTGCGGAGTAGAGGTTCCCGGTGTGGACCATGGTGAATGTATCCGAGGGGGTTCGTCTTGGTAGGTAAAGATGGAAGCCATGACGGTGATATTACCAACGCCAGTCGATCCACCTCTTTCAGGCTTCATATAAGACGCTGCCGTATGGATGGCCGTAATATCGATAAAGAACGGGTTATGGTGTGAGAGTAGTAGAGCATCTGGGACAGACGGAGGCACATCGTTGCTACTGGTGGACAAGTGGTCTGTCGGTGCGAATGGCTTATTTTCTGAGTATGGGAGAAACGGTCGAGCACATGGCAGTCTCACAGACAAGTCAGGTGTGTCCGTACGTAGAGATGTCTGGAACTTGAGTCATTACCAACGAAGTTGACCACGAGTCACCAAGGAGTCAAGGACGGAGAGCGCCAGGCAACGACTGAGTCAATCAGCGCATGTGACATCACAGTCCTGACTCGGAAACCGCCAGAGCATGTTTCCTCGCATCCAATTCTCTTGGACTCCTTTCTTTTCTGAACACATCTGGCATACAACGCGCATCACAGCTATATGGAGCCTATGCTGTGGCATTCATTCGCCAAATATGGCCAGAAAAACCTGAGATGATGGTCTCCAAAGTCACCCACAACATGTCAAATCCTCACAAAGAGTCGCTCCACAACCCAGCATACAGGAGGCATCTTCACCATTCCTACGCCTTAGTCCCTCACCTACTGGTTGACTCTCGACGCCGGAAGCGCTTTGGGTTGGCGCCAGCAGCTCTGGTTGAAGAGTGGCCGAGTGGACGCCGTAAGCATGGAAGCACTCTTTGATTGTGGTAGCAAGATTCATGAAATCAGCCATTGCCTTGTCAGACACAACGATATGAGCCGAAGCCACGGCTTTTTGCTGGTTCAAGCGCCAGATATGCAGTTCATGCACTGCCAGTACGCCATCGATCTACAGCCGATATCAGAGCTCGTCTAATGTTGTGTTGGAGAGGGAGCTCACGTACAGTTTCAATGTCATGTTTCACATCATTGGGATCCAAGCCTCGAGGAACAGTTTGCATGAGGATCGCGCCAGTCTTCTTGACTACACAGTGTCAAAGGGGAGCAACAGAGATATAGTGCGGCGTTGAACACACATACCTAACGGAATCGCAGAGAACAGAATCATCAATGCAATTGCCATACTCACAGCTGGATCGGCGTAGAACCGCGCGGGATACTTGGCCTTCCAGATGACAGCAGCAGCAATGATGACACCGACATTGTTGGCGGCATCGCCAATAACGTGCAACAAGACACCCATCATGCCCAGATCATGATCATGTCCTTTCTTGGTAGACCTGGTGGTATCTTCATGGCGGTGGGTGCTGTGACTATGTCCAGCCTACACGCCGTTATCAGTACAAGACAAGGCTCAAGCCCGCAAAAGCTACTTACATTCATCGCAGCCATATCCACGTCATTGATTGCGCCAATACTCTGATTAACCGCCTGGTGGACGTCATGATCGTGTTCTGCGATAGATTAGACTCGCCCGACAGCTGATCGGAACCAACGGACCATGCAGGAAAGCAGCGCTGATGACATTAAGACCAAAACCAACACATCCCACAATCAAGACAAGCTTGGGGTTCTCGACGCCTATGGCAACGGAGAGCGATCAGTGCCATTTCATGTGAAATGAAGTCACGAGGAGCCTTACGCTTCAGATCGACGAATCTCTCAACCGCCTGCAAAAAGATACTAACGCCCAGCGCGAGCAGGAAGACTCCATTGAAGAACCCTCCCAGGAGATTGGCTCTCTGCCACCCAAAGGAGAGCTCCTTGGGAGAGTGACTGCGCTCTGAGATCTATGCAGAATTCATCCTTCCGATTAGCATATACATGGTCCAGCAGAAGGTGTTAGATACAAAGTTGGACACGTACCTTGAATGCGACGAAGGCCACAATGAACCCAACCAGATCATTCAACTATACAAAGTCAGTCACGGTGTATTTGCATTGACAGACCGTAACCAGAAAGGACGAGTACTTACGTAGTGGAAGGCATCAGCTACCAGCGCCAGTGACTTTGTATAGAACCCAACTAGGGGAGTTTGATTCAAACATCAGTAGGTATTCATCGTCCATCTGGTACGGAGTATGCTTTGTTTGCCGCCCGTCTGATGTTTTCCCCACAAAATGCCAGCACACCCGTCGAAACTCACCTCCGATTTCAGCTAAGAAGAACGAAAACGATATACCGATGATGACCATCAATCGCTGAGGTTTGGAGAGGTGGAAGTGTATCATGGTTGGCAGAGAATGAGTTCAGAGCAATATACGGTTCCTCATCTGCAACATCTCGCTCCAAGGTGGGCGAGGCAAGGAGAAGCAGATCGGAGTGACGTCTAGACTCCAAGGGGGTTTTATACTCCTCCCGCATCCATACAGCCGGGGTCGCCATGGAGTAACTAGCTTCTTAGTTCAACGTTTGCCTCGAAAAGCTGTGACGCCTTGGCCCGCGTATCACTGTGGCCGGTGACACTTGGCGTCTGAGGGTGGAAAGATCCTGCCTACGGAGTACGGAGTACGGAGTACCTCATTGCCACAACAAGGTGAATGCTCTCGAAGGGGCTGGGGTCCTGTTGTTTGCAACCGGTGCCGGTTCCATAGGTTAGGAAGGGTTCGAACTGAAGGTTTCAACCGGTAAGCGTGCACCGCATGCGAGGCACCCTAGCCAGGGTGAATACCACAATTGCCATGGGACGTGGCCAGCGGTGTTGGCGGCCTGTACCCCCATAATGGTTGGCTGTGAATCTGTGAGGTCGAGATCGAGAGATTGCTGTGAAATATAAAGTCTATGTCAACATGGGCCTCAGGACGAGAGTACTGGGCTCAGGTTGATACTCCCGAGCCAAGTCTCCAGTAACCGTCACCAGCAGTAGTCCGAGTACCTGATTCTCCTCTGTGGACGTCCACAATTCGTATCACTAATGCCTGGTAGGTTTATGATTTAATCCAGTCAAAAAGAAACTCCGGGAGCTTTGGCAGTCGGAGGTGAAAAGTACTGCCCGATGAAAATGCTTGGTACCTCTTCATGTCCATGTGCTTCTCTCCTCACCTTACTTCTAGGGCACTTCGTATGGCTGAGGAGATACGTAGATATAACACTGGGGCCGGGAGGAATATGAACGTACTTTCATAACTGCATTTAGCTCGGGGGTATCTTGGGATGTATAAGTCTGTTCAATTCATTCAACGTACCCTTCTCGCTCTCTGTTTGACATGACACATTGACAATGTTATCTAGCACTGCACTTCCCGGGGTTTCTCTTGTCTTGTACCAGTCATCATTTCCCTTTATCTTCTCCCTCCGATACCTTCTCCCACTCGCTGTCCGTACTAATATACCCTGAGCTTTCACCTAAGCTTCGCCGCCGCCGGATTGCTTCCATGCCATCGGTCCCTCGTGGCTCGAGCAAACTAGGTGGGGATTTTGGCCTCGGCTTCTCGTGTCGCTGTCCTTGCAAGGCTTGAGCTGACGTAGTTTTTGCCGACGGCTGTTCGGGAGGGCCTGAAGAAGACGCCGTCGACGCTACCGCAGGTCCTTCGGTCTCTGTGTCGCTTGCGGTTTCGGTTTCTGGACTCTTGGACCTCTTTGCTTGAGCCTTATCCGCCTCTTGCGCCTTGGAAATCTCAGTGGCGAACCAATTGATTGAATACCAGAGTCCACCGCAGAGTACAGACAATATGAGGAAGTGAATCGAGTAGGTTGCGAGAAGGAGGATCAGTAGAAGAAGTTGTAAGGCGGCAAATGCTGCGTTGGTTGCAACGAGTAATGTAGGCGTGGGGCCCGGCGTGAAGATAGAGTTCCAGAGTTCTTCAAAGAACGAAGCCATAATGCCGGCAACACACACAGCACACGCAGAGGTCGACTTTTGCTTTCGTCGAAAAAGGACTCAAGTGAAGCAGATGAAGGGGCTAGTCAGTGGGCGCTGCGACGAAGGCAGCCCCGCGACGGGGTCTTTCTCCCTCCGGCTTTAGTAGTCTCAGCAAACAAACCCCTCCTGCGTGCTGTACAAACGCGCCTCTAGCTAGACGAGAGCTTTGAAGGACAGATACTTGATTTGAGTGGTTGGCTGGGAGGGAAGACGTGGCATCAAAGGAGGAAACAAGCAGCGGATGATTGCTGTTTGCTGGTTGTTTGGTTGTTGTGAACATGCGACAGGCAACTCGTCTCCGTGACCCGTCGTCATAGGCCAAAGTCATGTGCCCGAGTTAGTCAGCAAGCTGCCTCAGGATCCGACCCTGAGATACGGAGTACGAAGGACATATCTGATGTCTGTACGGAGTACTCTTCAAGGGTTGAAGAGCCAGCATTGCTGCCACTACAATGTGTGTCCACGATACGATGTTGGCACAGTGTCGGAGGAAAAAGGCAGCTTCCCGATACGAGTACAGCAGGTCACCGGTGTTGGCCCCCGATCACCCTCGGTCGCAGTCTCATGGGCATCGATGCTCCTTGTCTAACCTCGACTCTCCAGCCCGTTCGATCCTAGGGTGAGCGAACGCCCAGGTATGTGTCTCGCGAATCACCGCCTCTCAGCCATGGGTCTCTGTGGTTGGCTAATTGGCAATACCTACATTTGACCGTATTTCATCAAGTCACACAGACAAGGTTCCAGCAGTAATTTCTTGTCGTACAAAAAGTGCATGTTACCACGCCCAGTGTGCAAATGGATCCGAGAAGAACCTCAACGCCAGCCGCTGCAGCATGCCATCGCGGCCCGTGTTTGCTCCGTCCCTTGTCGGTGGGATCCATCTCACACCAGTGGACCTCATACGTATATTATATCTCACCACTCCTACCAAATCTGTGTATACTGCCACACCGACGGAGCTCTGCTAAAGCATATGTATCAGCCGATCGGCGTCGGTCAAAGCATCTCGTATCGCATTATGCAATCAATGGGCGAATTCAAACCGTCTCCTCTTCACATAGCGTGCGGCTGAGGTCCCATTACGGGCCAAAATCTTGCCCTCACTAGCAGCACGTCCACCGGCGAAGAACCAAGTTAGCACCCGGCAGAATATCGGTCATCTGAAATGGGAAAAGGTCTCAAAGCCTGGACAATTGTGGCGATGTGGTCTGTGGCTCAGTTGAAGCGCCTTGTGGTGGTGTTGTGGGGTGAAGTTCCCTTCATCATGTTCACCACCCCAGTGCATCGTGTAATACTTGAAAAAAAGCATACGGGATCTACACTCGAGCCCTCGGTGTCTTATGTTGACAAGGCATCCCACGGTAACCTTTCTTGGAATTCGGTGCACAGTGGAGTGTTGAAAGCCTTGTTACGAGAACAACCTTTGGGGTGTCTGATTGCACAATGCGACTTCCACCGCGGCCAGCATGAGACTACTGCCGTAGTTTGATGCTCGTATATGCCATGCATCGCTAGAATGACCATGGACCTTTGCGAGTGCTTGGAACTTTCAATATTCCGACCAGGTCCTGAGCACCGGATTGGCTGAATCGCAAAATTGCAGCCAGACAAGGGAGTGAAAGAGGTTTTTCGTCCCGCGCAACCGGTGATGATGAATCGGCGTATTGTGCTGACGGCACCACCTACCCTACTTGACCTCAAAGCTCCGATCGAGGAAAAGTCACTAACTAGGACGGAGTAGTGAATGTTACTAACTTAAGTACTTGTACAAAATGAATTCGTGCCGCTTCTCGCCAAGTGGCCGTTGACCTTTCAGCACACGAACAGACCAATCAATGCATCGCAGTCGGAGTTTCAGATTTACGACGGCCGACGTCGAGCTTTGGGGGCTAGATTTGTCCAACCCATTTTCTGGCCTCTTTTCTTGCTTTGCGAATCTCACTCAACCACTCGGAATCTCCCACCCGTCGCCCAATAAGGCCAGAACGAAAGGCTTTTTCGGGTCGCCAATGACACCAAAACCGCGCCTTTCGCCATGGAGCATCGGCACCAACTGTGAAAAGAACCTTGGATCTCTCAACGCGTTTTGGATCTTTTTTGACGAGAGTCAACGATCGCAGCGGAAGTACTCGAGCTTCGGCAAGGCCAATCCAGCAGCATAGCTTGTAGCTGGCGCGAAACTTTTCCGCATGGATCACGGACGATTGTATAAATGTATGTCCCAAGGCTGACCGGCCCCCAGAATGGGGAGCAAGGACGCTTTGTCCGCCAACACGCTACGAGAAGAACCTTCGGACTCCTCTCCATAACTAACCCACCAGGCTGTGGTAGCCATGGTAGGCAGAAGAGGCCCATGCTTACTTTGCCCTCCTCTGGCCTAGCGAGCGTCGAGACTCGCTCGAGCGTGTTAAGAATTTTCCCTTTCCCTTTGGCACATCCTTCTACCATGGAGGCATGATGAAGCACACTGACTGTCATTTCAATCCTATTACCTGTATGACCACCACAGCCGTATGCAAAAGATGACCAGACCAGGCAATGTTTGCTGGTGGATGCTGGTGTATGGCCCCACTCTGTCGACGTTATGTAAGTAAGCAGTGCTTACCGTGGCTGAGGTAGCTCGGTCCCTCATGGTCATTGGGTTGGTGTGGGCTATGCCGCAAGCACCTTGGGTGTTTTGTTGCGCTTCACGTTTTCTCGGTGTCTGCGTCTGCTCCAATGCTGTACGTCCCTGACCTCACATTACCACATTTTGAACTTTTGGCTCTGCCCTCCATATCCCCGGTCCGCTAGCTAGACTCGACAGGTTGAATCGCTAGGCAGCGGTATGTACCCAGCTCAGATTTGGCCCAACTACACAAGTCGTGCGACACTACTTCGAGCCATACCATTGCCGAATTTCCTTGTTGCCGCCTACCAAGTCTAAAGAACCTCCTGGCCCCCTTGTACTTGCCTTGAATTGGCCAAACCGTCATCATCACATCGAATCCGTCCCCCTGGAACATGCAGTGGCGTGGCAGGTCTTCATAAGAGAGCCCTAGCCACACCCACCGGTTGCACTCCTCAGGCCCCCGAACAGAGGATCGAACTCAGTCTATGAGTAGTCATATCTCTCAAAGCCGTAGGGCTACGCTAAACACAGCCAAGGTTGCCTCTTAGAAGGGGTTGTCTCTTCCAGAATCAAACTCATTATCGCGATCATACCCGCCTCAAGTTCATTGTTCTAACCCTCGCCTTCCCCACCATCACCACCGTCGCCGGAAGGCATTATGCGTATATAGAGGCTTATTGAACACCAATTCCAACCAACGCAGAATCCCGACACCATCTACAACGTTGTCACCATAAGCAAGCGCGGGAGTCCGAGCAGGAGGATAAAGCAGCACTATTTCGAGAACTTGTTTGATCGGGGCGAAGCCGGGCCTTTTCGAGGGGTACATCTACCGCAAACTCCCCATCCTTCGTTATCGACCAAGACCGCCACCGTTTCGAGCCAATTATCACCTCAAGAAAGCAGGAGACATTCGTGTTCTCGAGCTTGCGATAGCAAGCTCGAGTGGATAGACAGGCAATATTGCGAACCTCAATTCATCTCAGTCGACTCCGTCTCTCTACTCCGAGTCGCCCTCTAAACTGGATCGCTCGTCTAGTCGGGCGCACAGCACAGCGTATAGCGACGGTCACGCTTTGGGTGTCAGTGGGCAAGGAGGCACTCAGGTCCCGCCGTATCACGCCGAACATCAAGCGGCCAGGCCAAGTGTTGCCAGTAATAGCGTCCTAGTGCATCAACGGGGAGAAAATCAACAAACACAAAGCTTCAGTCATACAGTTCCCCAATTTGTCTGGGCTCAGAATACTCAACAAAGGCAACACCCTCAGGCGGGCGCTCCATCCAGCGTTGTCACCCAGTTTAGTTTGCCGCAGCAAGGGTCAGTAAATTTCACAGTGGGATTTTCCACATTCTCTGCACTTTGACTGACTCAACTACCCAGGATGGCAACTCAAGTCATTTCGGCGCCACCGGCACACCATCTTCCTCAGCAGTTCGGATATGACAGCGACATGATGTCTTCATACCATCGTAAGCACGATATAAATGTCAGATCCTACTGATTCGGCTGACTTGATGCAGAACTTGAGAGTTTCCCTTCGGCCCATGGTTCGTACACTTCCGAGCACTCAAGGCAACCACTCCTCATGGTATCGCCTCCAAACGCGAGTTCCGACATTCCTTTTCGAAGACGATCTTCTCACTCTCCGCGGTCGGGGTTGGTGGCACCAGTGTCTCATAATCGCACCCCTATTCGGCACAATAGGGGTAGCGTTATGAATGATCGCAGCCACACCCGAGGCGATATGATAATGTCATATGCTGCCGAGGAGAATACCTTGTATCCATCCCAGTCTCTCCCGTCTACAGTAGGTATTCGATCACAAAGTGGGCCCAGCATGGCGCAAATGTATGGGATGTCTGCGTATCCTATGTCGCCGCCCTTGGCCAGTTTCGGGCACCAAGGAGGGTATTTCGGGTCACAACTTCAGTCTAACGTTGGGCAACCGGAGTCTGGAGAGTTTCCTCTGACCCAGGGGGAAGGAGAGATTCAGAACTTCTATACTGTCGGCCGAACCTCATCTCAAGGTTCGGCGATGAGTTTGCCGAATGCAGAGTCACCCAACGCAATGTATTTGACACGAACACAGGGTCATCAGTCATTGCCGTCTGTTGGCGTTACGATGCAACCATTTCCACCCGTCCCATCGACCTTGGAATCCTCCCCCGCAGAAAGTGAAATAATGCCGTCTCGGCCCAAGCCGCAATGCTGGGATCACGGCTGCAACGGACGACAATTCTCTACTTTTAGCAACCTGCTTCGACATCAGCGGGAGAAGTCCGGCAGCGCGACGAAAGCTATTTGCCCTCACTGCGGCACTGAGTTCACCAGGACCACAGCGCGAAACGGACATATGTCTGGTGGCAAATGCAAAGGAAAACCTACCCCCGGAAAGTCCTAATAGAACCAAGAAGGGATAAAGATGCCGCCGTCAGCATTTGATGCTACTGACGATACGAAGATATGATTACATTGCTCCGGAACGCGAAATGGGGGTTCAGCGGTTGGACACCGGCGTTCCTGGCAGGTAAAAACGGTGGCAGTTGCACCTCTCTACCTTTGAAATGCCTGATGGCAACTTTGACGACATCACTAAACTAAAACTTAAAATACTTGACCTCATCAATCAACGACATGGGGTGGCATGGCTTTGACTTTTCAGCTTATGTCTCCCTCGAGGGCACACGCTGCTTCCACATTGACATATTCGCGGACGGACGCCAGTAACTCGGCCCCAAAACTTGAACTGGATAGGCACAATACGAACTCCCGTCGCATAAAGAATTATCCAACTTTTGCTGCGCCTTGAACGTACCCTGCAAGGCTCCGCACCACCCACGGGTTTTGCTCTTAGGACCGGGGCATGGGCCGACCCTGCAATACGATCATCAAACTAACTCAGAATTGATGACGCCGGGGAGTGAAATAAAACTGCACGCCGCAAGATTGGGATCTCTGCCTGGCACATGGACGTATAGTCAGAGTAGCAGTTCAGGACCACGGGGGATAAGCAATTAAACAACTGACGAATGTCATATTCGGCGAGTGAATAATTACACCCCTGTACCCTGGTGCACGTTGGCACGTAGATGGATACCCAGGTGGGCAGAGAGCGTGGACCTGGGACAGGGATGTCGAGGTTTGTCCATGAACCGCCAGGCCTGTGTATTGGTCCGTGTCTCTGTCAGGTGCTAAATGGGTACAATACGCAGTTCCTCGTGGGAGCAAGAGTTCCACGGATTAGAATAGGCGGATTTTGGCAAAATGTTGGGACAAGCATCAGCCGGGGATGAACGATCGAATGCCGTTCAGGATACCGGGGGGGCGAGGCTGACACCGTCTTGGCCACCCACATACGGAGTCCTTTGTATGACAACAGCCAGGAGTAGACAAGTCTCGTACGAGAGATACTTTTGGCCACAGGAACAAAGATCCAACCGCGCGAGTTACTGTAGAATCATACGGAGTTAAAGTAGGTAAGGAAGCAAGTAAGTAATCGGCGTCGAACACGGAGAGAATGTGTGTTTCCATCCTCTGTTCCCTCGTCCACCAATTGCCGCCTCGATTGCCCATCGCCGTCCTAGGCTTCTCCGGGTGTGTGTCTCCTTTTCCCTCGTTCCCTCTCCTCCTATTCCTCCTCCTCCTCATCATCACTCATCAAGTAATCAAAGATGATCGAAAAAAGGGCCTCTCACCCACTCAATGCCGACACACATCGTTCCCGTCTCCACAGCATGCCGTTTGCCGGTTTTCTTCCTCCGATGCCGACATCTGCTGATCATCTCCTCGAACCCCGTCGCTACAAGCCTCTACCACAACGGGGGCCCGTCAGAGATATGTACATGCATATTTTACAATCCAGGGCATGGTCCATCCTTGTTTCGTTGTCGTTTTTGCCAGCAGGTCCTTGGTCATCGCGGTGTCTCCGCTCCGTCACTCAGCTTTCAAGGGCTTCTCCATGTCCGTGTCCGTGGGTCGATGTCACGCATCCTGATGTATGAATACACACCACGTTGACGGAGCGAGGCGGGATCAGAGCCTTTCTCTCTCTCAGCCTTTCGTTGCTTACTGTACATGAGCTTTTGCAAAAGCCCTGCCAAATTCCACCACACTTGCTGTTACAGTATTGACAAGTCACTAAAGCGTGCCCCTCCGTGGAGGCGATGAAAAACGTGAGCGAATGAGAGACACTGGGTGGCCGGCCAGGCGAGCGAGACCACATTTGCCTGTTTTGGCGCACGGGGTGTGCACCATCCCTGTGTTGTGTCGCCACGGGCTCAATGCATCGCTACAACGATAACAATCCTACCTCCCCTCGCCCCCCTCGCCCCCCCTCGCCCTGGGGGCTCCATATCCATATTACTTTCTTGGGATACTGTACGCTGACTTGCCACCACTGGCCTGTGCTGCGGGCTGTCACGAAGAGAGAGGGCAGTGGATGGCATATACCGATGAAGGGGTGGCGTTTTGGGTTCTTACGCGAGACGACCCCATTGTTGGAAACAAATAAGAAAATGGCCAAGGTTACCCGGTAGGTAACAGCTCCCTGGTCCTGAGTGAGTCCGTGGACCGTAAGCTATCCATCTGTACATACATACAGTCAGTCGCCAGTATGGAGGTGGGCCATGGATCCTTGGTACTCCGTAAGTAGGTAGTACAGATGCCTATCTAGGCAAGGTAATTTGTCCCTCCCTCCCGAGTCAGCGTCCGGTGTCAAAATGGTTACAAGTATTTACCTAGGTAAGGTAGGTAGGTACCTAGGTATTGCTCCGTATACCAAGGGAGGGCCAAGGCTGAGTCTGTCCGTTCCTCGAGTCCTCTAACTAGCGCGGATTGTTTTCATGGAATACGAATACCGTGCCAGCAGCAACAGCAACAGCAACAGCAACAGCAGCAGAATCAAACGCCCGAGACGACGACGCTCTCCTCGAGCGAAGAGAGCTAACTAACTACAGGTACCTGATGATTCCTCAACAGCAAGATCTCGACGCTCTTCTTTTTTTTCTTTTGGACCGTTGAAAGTCTTCACGTCTTCTATCTTTTCTCCGTCTTTCTGGGACATTCATGTCCCAAGCCAGCCAGACAGATGACGAACCACGGATTCAAGTCAAGCCAAGTCAAGTCACGGACTGCCAACCGCTGAATCGCGGCGCTCTTGCATACATGCCACTGTTACATACGTACACACATCCATGCCATCCAGGGGGGGGGGGGGGGGGGGGGG